AGATTATTTCTAGTGCAGTAATGAGTTTAGATGTTACTATTACTGGTGTTAACTAATGCCAAGAGAAGATAATACTTGATGTTGATTCTCATTTGATACAAAATATGTTTTTTCCAAGTATAAGCTCTTTCATTTTAAAAGCAATTAAGAAAATTAACGCTCGACCACAAATGAATATTCTGTTCAAGATATTTATTTTTAACAAGAAACATAATAAGTGTTTATTGCACAGAACCTATTACACAGAAGAAAATGAAAAAAATCATACACATTCATTATCTTAACTTCAATAAAAACGTAAAATTGTTTGAATATGAAGAGTGACGCCTTGCCTCGATTACTTTGCAATTTGTTATAACGAAGATAGTATTTAACAGTACTCATGAGTTCCTAACACTGAGTGTCAATAATAATAATCCTTGCATTTGATATAGTGCCTTCTCACGTCATTGAGACTTGTTGCTCAATAATTAGTATATGATGACTTTGACGAAAGTTTAAAAGCTTTAAAAATAAACATAAAACCATACATACAATTTCATTATTTCATTATTTTTTGGATCTACATTGTCAATAGTTAATTAACCCACTTCTGTATGGTAAAGCATAAATAACAAGTGTTAAGGTACGTATTGAGATTCCTTCGTTCCTAACAAATCTATTAAAGTTTTATTAGCAATGAATTTCCAGCGCCCTATTAAATTTTAACCTTGTTATAACGGGTTGGTTTAGGTGGAGTGGGGGAGGTGAAGTTCTGAAGTGGAAAGTTAATATTGTTTTGAGTGAGATCATTGCCAACTAAAGTATTACACTGTACGTGTTCTTGCAAATCAGTTACTTGAAAAAAGACCTCATAAAACATTGCTTGAGAGTGCAACATCAGGGAGTGATTCCCAGAGCTTTAGTGCTTAATATTTAATGGTTTTGCAGCAAATAAGTAGTTTGCCTTCCTGTCCACCTCCTGAAAATAGAAACAAATGAGAAAGACCAGTTCAAATTCAATGGTGTATCTGATACAAATTTAATGCTGTCAATCTTATCACTGGTTTTCTGTGTATTTTACACATTGTACTTTATTGTTCTATTGTACTATATCCTTAGAATTGAATCTGAAACCAATCTAAGATACCTACTCATTGATTCAGGGCTCATTTGAAGCATTTTTAGATCTGTCCTCTCCTGCCAAAGAACTACTACTAATAATAATAATCCTTGCATTTGATTTAGCACCTTATCACGTCGTTGAAACGTCTCAAAGCGCTTCACAGAATATAGCGTAACTGTGTATTAACTGACAAATGTCCCTTTGTCCTCTTGTTCAATCCATTTCATACCACTTTCACTCTATAAAATAACTTTGTGTTGTGTGGGCTGTAATGAAGCACAGTAGGTGTGAACTTCAACAAATTAAAAGTTTCAACACAAAGATCTGACTGAAATCACCAGATGTAAGATTCTCAGAGCAGTTACTCAGTGAATTGCTTCAGGCGCATTTCAATCTCACTCGACAGTAGCATCTACAGAGAAGAGCGGATGTACTCCAGCCTTTAAAAATCAATTTGTCTTTCCATTCAAAATGACTGGGTTATTGCAATTATCGGGTGTAATAGCAGCAGGTGATTTAGAATAAAAACACAAGAGGAAATGTCACACAATGGGTAATGAACCTAACAAAGGGCTGTAATTTAGTTAGGTAAAACTTGGGTAGTTTTACTGCTGTAATTCTATAGCGCAACCCACCTAGTACAGTGAAGAGGAAACCACTTCTTTAAAGTTCTAAAGCAGATGAACAATGCTAACACCTACCTATATTTTAACTACATCGGGAATCCACTAACTTTAAAAACAGTTCTCAATTGCTGGGAATCCTAAAGCTGGAGATAATTGAGCGGATCTCTGCTGTATGATCCCACACTGTCTCTCTTGCCGTATGTGTTTGACCCAACGTTTGTTGGAATATAGAAGGGACCCAAGTTTTTGTCAGAACGACTCAAGAAATCCGCCAGGCGCTGTGTCACACAGGTCGCTGTGTTACATGTCCTCTTGTTCACATGGATACTGAAGGAATAAAATAAATCACAGAATTATTTTAGCATTAATTGCGAACCGCTGTGACACATTATAATGTAATAATAATAATAATAATATCTGCATTTGATATAGCACCTTATCACGTCTTTGGCAATTCACAGAATATACCGTAAAGTGAATTGACTGTGTATTTGCTTTCGGATGGCCTTGTTAAAACCCCAAGTTATACAGTGCTTTTTGCTTATAATTATTATGGCATTTGCATTATAGATTTGGAGCAAAAATCCTCAGCGTCAATGGGAATCAAACCAATTATAACACAAAGTTATAAACCAAAATATCCGTTGGCTTCAGGTAAGTGTTTTTTACACACTTTGGTCGAAATGATCCCTGGTTGGGCTAATGTGCTGATGTGTGCTGAGTATTACCTCTTTTCTTTGAAAAGCTCTTCCTCGGGGAAAGCAGGAGTGACTCTCGTTAGGGATCGCTTTCTCAGCACCGGAATCATCCAGGATTTCCACACAGAAGAGGGAGTTCTTTGGTCTTTCGAAAGTTCAGACGATCTGATTTGGTTGAAAAAGAAAGATAAGAAATCAAACAAACTGATTAGCATCGTTTCGCCCACAAAATACACAGTCAATTCACTTTACAGTATATTCTGTGAAGCGCTTTGAGACGTCTCAAGGGAACGTAAAGGTAGCGTCACAGCAAGAGGAGGGTTTTGAGATGGGCCTTGAAGGAGGTAAGGGAGGGAGGGAGACAAGGACTGTGGGATGGAGTTCAAAATTGTAGGGGCAGAGAGGCTGAAGGTCTGACTTCTGATGGGGGAGTTGGATAGATTTTTGGGAGGTCAGGGTATTTTTGGGAGGTCGGGGTATTTTTGGGAAGTCGGGGTATTTTTGGGAGGTCGGGGTATTTTTGGGAGGTCGGGGTATTTTTGGGGGGTCAGGGTATTAAGGGATATGGGGAGAAAGCGGGAAATTGGAATTGAAAGGATTAGTTAAAGTACAGATAGGCCATGATCTAATTAAATGGCAGAACAGGCTCAAAGGGCTGAATGGCCTCCTCCTGTTCCTCTGCGCCTATGGGAGCACTAATTCAGAAGAGGAAGGGAAGATAGTGATGGTTTTGATTCAGCTACTGTACAGGGAGGATGGTAATTACCTGGAGCGGGATTGAGAGGGAGATGGTGGATGAAGGCAAAGTCAATAAAATCGAGAGGGATAGAAAGATGGAAGAGGTTGATTTGATACTTTATTTTTAAAGTTGAGCCAGATAGACCTCCGTGATATCTCCTGCTCCTGTGCATTCGTATGTTTCTTTGTGCCTACTCTCTGCTGCTGCACTGAAAGCAGCAATGTTGATAGCACTGTTATGGTCCTACAGTGAAACAACAACTTGCTTTTATCTCACGCCCCTCATGCGGGGCAGAGTCCCGGAGCATTTGACAGTGGCAGAGCACGACTCCGAGCCGGGGAGAGGTCGGTCAAAGAGGAAGGTGTTCAGGGGCGACCTGAAGATAGCAAAGGGGTGGGTGGGGGGGGGGGGTGGGGGGGGAACAAGGAGAATTATCACAGAGCCTCTCTACAGGACGGAATTGGCAGTTTGAAAGGAAAATTAATATCGTGAAAATACACTACGCCGATATTTCTCAATGTAACCAGTAAATATATGCAGCGTTTTCATAGTTGTGATTGACTAATTTCTACGCTAATTTTCTCATGTCTAAATTACTACATAACGTTTGTTTGAAAACAATTTTATCATTCTACCGTTGAAAATAGGCATGTTTGCAAAGTGCACCTTCAAGGTTCAATGATGCAATTTCTGAGTTAAAGGCATTGACACAAAACATGTAGTGGAAGCAATTGTGAGTGGATTTATTGCTAAAATTCATTTCACTCATCTTTTACACGAGGCTAAAAGACAATGACAACATTTTGCCCACAAAATACACAGTCAATCAACTTTACAGCATATTCTGTGAAGCGTTTTTGAGACGTCACAACGACATGATGAGGCGCTGCAGGAAATGCAAGGATTATTATTGTTTAATGAGGTGTAATAATTTCAGAGACCTGGTCGGTGCAGCCTGTAACTCATCTAAACAGCTCAGTGACACGGAGGCAACAAGTATGAAGGTGGAGAGTTTCAGATAATACATGACGTCCTTTAATACCTGCAAATACAACAGAAAGAGATACAGTACTCTTTTCGTCTGCTCAGTGAATGCAATAATGACACGTACTAATAATTACCGAAACCAGATATTTTATACTAGCACAATATACCTCACATAAGTCGTATCAGTTTGGGACCATTTGATATGACTTATGCAAAGTAGAAGTTATGTCTTGCATTGAATATAAACTCTTGAACGGGACTTGGGCAGATGTACGACTTAGGCAAGGATACGATTTACACAGATCAGTCTTATGCGAGTTTTACTGTACGGTTCATTACCGAAACCAAACGTTTCATCCTCGTATTTGTAAATGAAAAATAAATTGGCTTTAGAAGACAAAATTGCAAAATGACTTTGCACAACAGGTGTTGCAATTCAGTTTTCTACGCGCTCCGATCGGTAACATTCGTTAAATAACGTATCTGGCACAGCTGAGAGGAAGTATCATCGTCCGTTTGTTTGTTTCGCTGTTGTGCTGTGTCAACTGTGAAATAATGTGGTGATTTCTCAGTTAAGATGTCAACACATTACTAAACGAGAGGAAAAAAAACAATCTAACATCACGTTGCCATCACCATTGACTTAAACAAATGCGTAACAGCAATCTACGTACGTCTTAAGGAGGCATTTCTATCCTTGCAGAACAAAGATGTGAGTCTGTAGCTTTCTTTTCTTACTCAAAAAGTAAAACCTCATGCTCTTTCAAGAGGACAGTGATGGAGTTTGAGATCGGATTTGAAGACGCTTCTCGGTAAATAATTGCTAATTTAGAGGGCAGATGAAACACGAGGGAATCTGGATTTTTTGGGGGGGAAATAAACCAATGAAATTTGAAGACAGACACACTTACTTGCAGTGTAGGCAGGCAGGCTCTCTGCGCTGTATTCCCCAGGGCAGCTGAGAAGTCTCGCAGTGACGGTAGCGATTAAACACAGCTCCTCTCTCTCTCTCTCTCTCTCTTCACTTCACTTCACTTGCTCTGTCCGGAGCGGGACTGAATTTCCCTCCTCTTCCCTCGTTTCCCATCGCTGGGAAAGAAGCTGCGTTCTTATAAGCCTAACACCCACCTCTCGAAAGTTTGACGTCAGTGCGCTTGCCGAGAGACATCTAGTTAGGGAAATTCACTGATCAGTCCCCATAGATAAGTGCCAAAGACAAAGCATGGGTCAGTGCCCTGGTCACAAGCCAGGCATCATATCATCAGCAGCAGCGCCTACAGACAGGTATTGCACTACGTCAGAACAATCTATCAAATACATCAGCTGCGAGTCTACACGCAGCCTTCGAATCATTACGAGCACCCACTTGACAGTGTTGTGTGTTGCCGCAGCCGAAAGGGGACAACTTTTCTATTAGAACCAACGTCAACCTGTTATAAGTGCTGCTAACAGCGTTATTGCTTGCCCCTGCCCTACCTCATTCAAAACGTTGCCCCCAATCCTCACAGCACAACCACAACCACACACCCAGTGTCGCTAATCGGAAGCACAACTTTCCTGATGGAAGAAAGGATTCCGTGACCAGATTGGATTCATGGGTGAACTCATTGCAGTCCGATCCAGACAATCTGGTCAAATGGCAGATTGCTTTTCCGGTGGGTAATAATCCCTTCAAAAATACATATTTTTAAAAAATGTGGTCACTCAATCCACGACTGTTTGCTGGTCACTGCACGTATACAGTCACTACACTTTACAGTATATCCTTTGAAACGTCTCAAAGATGAGATGAGGCGTTGTCTTAAATGCAAGGATTATAATTATTATTATTACTATTCAAACGACAGCATGCACTGCACGGTGGCAGAGTTTTTCTTGGTGTATATTACTTGGTGGATTGTTTTAAAGGGGCAAGAGTATTGAAGAGTGTCAGAAATGGATGAAACGTTAATGTCAATGAATCAGTTGGAGTGAATGAGTTTCATGTCACTTCTCCTTTCACAAGTTGTTTTCTCATCCCGATTGCAGGTATTTATCATCAAATGGTTACAATAATGGGTTCAATTCCAGCTATTATGTCCAGGAGGTGACTGGGGTTTCTCACGAGGTAAAAGTATTTTTTTCTTGTCATTATATCAATTACGACTGCTGAGTATTATCACTTTAACAGATGAACATTATGTTGACAATTTGACATATCCTCAGGTATGGTCCTAGCGGTTTGACTGAGAAGTAGTTTTCTATGGATTCTAATTAACTTGATATTGGGTCCAAATGTGAAGCATCAGGATAAAAATAAATCAGTAAAATGTGACATTGTATAATTAATAAACATCAATAGGTCTCAACAAGCTCTTATGTATCCACAGTGAGTCTGAACAACATTCAACATTTCTGTTGTCACAGTTACCACAGCGAACTGCTCTTCTCTTTTATATTATACTGTTTCTTAACTTAATACTAATAATCCTTGCATTTAATATGGCGCCTTATCATGTCTTCGAGACGTCTCAAAGCTCTTCACAGAATATACTTTAAAATGTATTTTGTGGGTGAAAAGCAGCAGCCAATTGTGCCCAGCGGTGTCCCACAAACAGTCGTGGATTCAGTGACCGAATGATTATACCTTTTTTAAGGGATTATTAAGCCGGGAAAAGCGATCTGCCAATCGACAACTGGGTTCCAACTGACCCCCAAGGTAAATAGAGGCGTGTGGAGTAAGGAAACTTGCCTAACGTTTCGCCCGGCCCGGGAATCGAACCCGGGTCCTCTCGCTTGCGAGGGCAATGGAATTAAATAGTTAGTTTTTCAGAGAGCAATCACAGGAACAGTGGCCCGAGACCTTGGGTCTACAGATTGACTTAATTGAAGCTAAAACACCTCTCAAATGCAGCAGCCACTTCCTCCATCCAGAATTGTACTGGTGCCGATGATAAGAAAACAAATTGCGTAACAAAAGGCAGCACACAGGATGTTTACTAGATGTTTGTTAATCGAGAGATATTTTTGCATCAAGCTCACCCGGCTTTTCAAGACTCCATGTTAGGTCTGCCTATCTGATCAGATTTGGTATATGGCACATGTTTGATTAAACACTAAAGCCAATCTGTATTCCATGTCCTCATACAACTCAGTGAATTTAAACAAACTTGTCATCTGGAAAATTTTCAATACCTCAAGCAGTTAAATAAAGCAACTTTAGCCAATGGGAGATAAAACGAAGGGGAACAAAGTCGATTGCACATCATGTGACTGACATTCCGTTTAATTACTCTGGTAATCTTAAACTGCGGCGTTCAGTTGCAAACATAAATGATCAACATCAATTTGGCTAATTTGCTGGAATAAATGGTTGCAAGTAACATTGCACTCCAGAACCTTAACAAAAATGTCACAGGTTTTCCCAGCTGCCCATTCCGTTTCTCTCTCTCCAGAGGATTTAATGCTCTGTTACGTAGTTCAAAATATGATTTTATAATAATAATCATCCTTGCATTTGATACAGCACCTCTTCGGAACGTCTCAAAGCGCTTCATAGAATATACTGTAAAATGAATTGACTGTATATTTTGTGGGGGGAATGCAGCAGCCAATTGCGCATTGCAGCGTCTCACAAACAGTCGTGGATTGAGTGAACAACATTATATATATTTATCTTGAAGGGAATTTAATGCAACATCACATCCTGGATAGGGAGATATTTCAATTGGTATATTCTATTCAGAAAGACGGTTGCTCCCAAAAAGTTCCTAAATTAGTTTGACATTGTTATCTCGGTGCACCCAGTATATTTCAAAATGGTTGCAAAATCCTTTGAAATACATCGTGAAAAAAACAGTTATTCAGAAAGAACGGGGCAAAAGAAACTCGAGTCCACGGACAGAAAATAGTAGTTGTCAAAGTGTGTAAATTGAGACAGCGGAACAGAGAACAGTGATTGATGCGCTTTCAAAAAATGGTTTGTCTGTCATTTGTATGTTTTAACTTTTCTGAATGACAATTAGCATTGACGTCGACGAAAAGGCACAACACGCTGAAGAGCAAATGAGACCATTCTGAAATAGAAAATTGTGTTTGCGTTTTGCTAAAATGTCATATGGATTTTAGTAAGGGTCATTTCATGCTTGTGAATGAATTCTACACGCTCAACGTACGAAGAGTAGTGAGACGTGAAAAATTTGCTTCAGCTACCACGATGAAGAAATGTTAATTTTTCTATTTTAGCATTTTTCTCCAACGTTATCTAGTTTTTCCCATTTCGGTATAATGTCCTGTGGTTTTTTTTGGAGCCAGGGGTGCTTGTTTGATCACAGAGCTTCTAATGTAATATATTTTAAAAAAATCTAATTTAGGTTGAATAAATTATAATTCCAGACATGTGCATTTCACAGCTAAACCTGAAGTTAAGAAATGCTTTTTTTTTTAAGAAATGCAATATTTTAAAATGTGCATTTTTGTGAGATATCAAATCAAGCCAATATCAAGTCAAATCAACGAGTTTTTCAGATCTATTCAACCCTAACCCTAGGTAACTAAAGCAATCAAACAGACCAAAGAGGAACACTATGGCACAGATCCAAACAGCAGTGTCCCAATTCAAAACTCCATCAATAAAATGCAATGAAAAAAGCGATGAGTCAGTGTTGGACATTCATTAGTTTTTGAATTTGCTCCATATGGTCGTGGGTTTCGATTGACCACAAATGCCGGCGCCTTTCACGTCGGGAGGACGTCCCAAGGAGCTGGACAGTCAGGGATTTGGACCCGAGCTGGGGGGGTTGGGATCAGGAGGGGTGGAAGGCAGGGAGGGCAGAGAGGGTAGGAGGGTGACCGAAAGCGCGGTCGATGAGGAGGGCTTTAAGATGGGCCTTGAAGGAGGCCAGGGAGGGGGCGAGGCGGAGGGTCTACGGGATGCAGTTCCAGAGGGTGGGGGAAGAGAGCCTGAAGGCCTGACCGCCGAGGGTGGGGCAAGCCGGGCGGAGGACATGGAGCAGGCCGGCGCCCGCTGAGTGGCAGAAGCAGACAGATTATTATGGATTTAGCAGGTCACAGAGGTAGGGAGGAGCAGGGCAATGCGGGGCTTTGAAGGCAAGAACTGCAGAAAACCAACTTCAGAGTTACGGCTGAATTCCTTTAGGACTTTATCACAAGAGGATTAAGACTGGAAACAGGGTCATGGTGTGGTAAACTTGAGTTGAAATTAGCCAAGCTAAGAATCGACTTGAAACTTCCAGCGGTGAAACAACAGTGTCCCCACATAGCAACGCAGATGGACCACTGGGTCAGCCAGAGAGCAAATATTCTCAGTAGTTTTAAATACATGTGACTTTTTTTTTAAAACAAACCAGCTCACAAAGTATCCATGAATATTTTGTGCAGATTTTGCTTCTAATTCTAAGACATCTTTTATTTACATTCGAAATCTAAGTCAAAGACGAGTTTCTATGACACACTCAACTTTTTTCACCAAAGGGTCACAATCGATGGGAGCACCGTCCTGATTCATAACTGTCGTTTCCGAGCCTTCATTGTCCACAACTTTTTCTTTTTCCGATGGGAAATGTTTATTCAATTGCCAGAATATGGGAACTAAGAAGAAAAAACTGAAGCCTTGAAGTGCTACTACTGTTCCATGGAAGACCAACCTGCAAAATAGTAATGAAAATAATAATCCTTGCATTTGACATAGCGCCTTATCATATTATTGATACGTCTCAAAGTGCTGCATAGGATATTTTATGAAGTGGATTGACTGTGTATTTTGTGGAGGAAAGGCGGCAGCCAAATGCACACAGCAGTGTCCCACAAACAGTTGAAAGCTGTGGCCATCTTCTCTGCTACTGTCCTTAACCTTAGTCATGTCTTGACGACCTCCCACCTCCACCCTCCTGCCCGCCACCCCTCCTGACCCCCATCTCCCAGCTCGGGTCCAAAAACCCTGACTGTCCAGCGCCCTGGGACCACTTTCCCACGTGAAGGGCGCGAGACAAGTGTAACTTGTTGTTGTTGTTGAATCAATACCCAATTAATAAGTCTAAAAACACCACCAATATAAAACATAATAAATAGATACAGCCCATCAACTGTGATAGATTTAGTTAGCTCAGTGATTCAAGTAGAGAGGGTTGAGAGAGAGTGAGCAGTGCATTTTCATTTTGTTTCCATTATTTTGAACAAACATATATTCTATGTTCTTTATTCACTACAATCAACGTCTCGAAGACGGGATAAGGCGCTATATCAAGTGCAAGGATTATTATGACAGACCATTAGGTTTTGTACTTGTTTGCTTTCAGGATATTTTGTTGAAAAATTGAATATGTTTTAATTTTGCAACCAGTGACAACGTCAAGCTCTCCCACATCAGATGCAGTACAGTGCTTCCCTTCCATTATTCCAACAATATACCTCAACACTAATCAGAAAAGACCACTTAATTGTCCCAATAGATCATAATTATTTTGGGGGGGGGTTCAAGCTGAAATTGCCCCATTGGTACTGATCTGACAATAGCTTGGTGCTGCAATTTAGTAGGTCTTCGACTAGGACAACTTCTTCTCATTGAGACTATTACTTGTCTGCCTAGAAGGCATCTTTATTCACATAACAACGACAGCATACATTTGTATAGGACGTCCCAAAGCGCTGGACAATCAGGGATTTGGACCCAAGCTGGGAGTTGGGGTAAAAGATGGGTGGAGCACAAGGAGGGTGGGGATAGGAGGGTGACCGAAGGTGCGGTCGATAAAGAAGGTCTTGAGATGGGCCCAGTCAGGTACTCTGGGACTCTACCCTGCGTGAGTGTCCCTGTATAAATGCAAGTTGTTGTATTATTCTTGAGCTTCAGCGATTAACGTAGCAACTTGCCGTGCGTCAAGAAGACTTAGAATGTTACCTGAACCTATCATTGTCGTAAATCCTGCACGCTCCTGGTACACCACACTCCTCGGATCCCCACTTCAAACACGTCATGGCACCAAAGTGAATTGGAACAGGGATCCCACCTGTAGCCGGCAAAATAAAAAGGATCATTATTTGAAGCACAATATGCACTTTCGAAAATAGCATTTGTAGCTATTGCTTTTGCACAGCGCAATTTCTATAGAACACTGAACTGTCCTTGAGTAGCTCATTACAATGACAATTTTGCAGCAAAGAAATTCCAGTAGAATTTTGCTCAACTTACACCCATTCCCACGAAACATTTTTCAACTGGAAAAATGCGGCAAATTAACACCATCTTTTTATTTTCACCATGTTTCATTCAGATCCGTCCGAGCAAATACACCTAGCTTTAAAAAATGTTATTCTGATATTATTCTCAGGGTTCGATAGCAACTTTCAAAAGGGAATTGGATAGGGGGAGTGGGACTAGTCGGTAGCTCATTCAAAGAGCTGGTACAGGTATGATGGGCCAAATGGCCTCCTACTGGGCTGTAAAATTCCATGATTCTATGATTCTTGCTCCCTGCATTTTAAACTCATACATTTCTACTAGAACCATGTGTTCATAATCCTTCAAAATATCAACTCGGCTGAAATAAAAGGCAAACTAAGCTGAATGTAAAACAATAAATAATAATAAACAAAACGTAAACGGTTCTGCAGCCTTTCCATTCCCGTAAATAGTGTGAAAAAGCTAAGCTTTTAAGAAAAAAAAGTTAAAAGACTCACCAAATATTCTTATCAACAGCATTAATATACCTATTGTAAATGATTTCAGGTCTTGTTTAACTGACCTAAAGAAAGCAAAAACAATGATGTCAGTAACAGAAAATGAAATTCTACAGATATTCAATGCTATATTACTTATTCTTATTGAGTTTCTGCCAATGACAAACATTACCATTGCGGGACATACTTAACTGAAGCAATATTTCTACATTAATTTTTCCTGCTCCAAACAGCATATTTAAGAATAAAGACATCTCAAAGCTCTACACAGAATAATAATAACTCTTGCATCTGATATAGCGCCTTATCACGTCTTTGAGACGTCTCAAAGCGCTTCACAGATTGTACTGTAAACTGAATTGACTGTATATTTTGTGGGCGAAACGCGGCAGCCGATTGCAAACAGCAGCGTCCCCACAAACAGTCCTCGATTGAGTGAGCGCATTTTTTACAGGGATTATTATCCCCAGAAAGCAATGCGCCAATTGACTAACAACTAGGTTCTGACTTACTGTTAGGTAAACAGAGATGTGTGGAGTAAGGAAACCTACCTAAGGTTTTTCCCAGCCTGGAAATATAACTGTATAATATACAAGTGAATTGACTGTATATTTTGTGGACGAGTCCTGTAACATATGTAACATGTAGCTTAGAGGTTAGAGCACTCACCTCACAAGCGAGAGGACTCCAGTTCGATTCCCAGGCAAGGTGAGACCTTAGGCAAGTTTCCTTACTTCTTACTTTCATCAGCTGCTGAGCATGTGTGTCAGCTGTACAAACTGTGACTTTAAACCAACTGTACCCATGTAAGCTTGTCTACTCCAATGCCGTCCTCACCGCTCCTCTATCCACCAAGTCCAGTTACTCCAAAACTCGGCCACTTGTGCGCTCACCCGCCCTAAACTCTGAACTCCCATCTCCAAATCTCCTTATCTCTCCGAGCTGCTCACTCTCCAACCCACTACCCGGTGCCTCTGCTCAACTGGCTCCGGCCTCTGCTTCCCCCTCCGGTCCACCATCGGTGGCCGCGCTTTCAGCCACTGCCCACCACCCAAAACACTGGAACACTCTTCCTCTATCCCTCCGCCTTGCCCCTTCCTTCCCCATCTTCAAGTCGTGTTTGAAGTCTTCGACCGGGCCTATAGTCACCTCCCTCCTCCCCCAGCTTGGTGTCGTGCTCCGCCATTGACAAGCGCTCTGGGACGCTATCCTGCGTGAAGGGGTGCTATATAAATGCAAGTTGTTGTTGCTATGTTTGCTGTAGAAATCTCTTACAACATGAACAAGATGCCCTAACATAACAATAGATGCACATGGAACAGTCAATATTGCCCGACTGCTACATCTATTGTTCTGCAGCCCGTAAATATGCGCTCATTTCACCAGATTAATGGCCTGAATATTCACCTTTGTAAATGGTACTTAAGCACTATTCATCTAAATTAATCACTTTCATCGGTCATTACTCACTTAGAGCCTGCTTCATGTAACTATCATACTTCAGAATTTTTAGCTGTGCTAAACAGGTCTATTATTATAATCATCAAACAACATTTTTATAAATTAGCTCTTGCATTGTAACATACTTCGCCAGTCTTCTTTTGAGTGTTTACCCCAGATTAGAGTGGCATTATTACAAAAAATTAGTGATGCGATTAAAAAGAGTGCCATAATTTAAATCATAAATGCAATCTCTTTAGCAAAAGTATAACAAGTACAATAATAATGTAATTAAAACAGTTCTATATATGTGAAAATATTATAATTATTTACATAAATATTAATTGTATTGTGGGAGCAAAAATGCTTCCTTTACTGGTCAGGGAGAGTCAAAATTATAGCTGCTAGAATTATCTGTGTCCAATTGCCTGCTACATTAGCATCCGCACATCGGACGTGATATGTTAATTGAGCCAAGTGCCACTTTGAGAAATATAATTCATTAGTCAAATCATAATCATAAGAAGTTATTAACTCATGGTTATTAATGGGTTTTGTGTGAGTGAAATTAGCTTCAGTCTCAATTCTAGGGGATCTCAGAACAGAGCACAAAACCGCTCAAACAGAAACAAAACATCAGCCATTTTTAACTAAGAATCATAATCTTTTCCATGAAGTACAGTATATTAACAATTACATGATATACTCTCTGAATATTAATATGTTACTACATTTTGGTAGATTTGCTGGGTGACATAAGCTCTAATCAACACTCAGATACAATGAAATGTTTGCAGATTGATTTTCACATATAAAGAGTTAGTAGTTTTCGAAACAGCGTGTTTGATTACACACTCTGTAACCAGTTTCCATTTATATTTATGTACTCTGTTTAACAATGTGAGGACTGACAATGGCATAGAAAATGGATTATTCTCCTTTGTGCACAAGTGAACATATTATTGCTCTTGTACGTCAGAAATAGCAAAGGCCAAATTCCATATATAACACCCCAGTCTCAGAACAGCACCCACCAGTGTACAAATACATACTACTTTGTGTAAATCCATGACTGTTTGTGGGACACTGCTGTGAGCAATTGGCTGCCACGTTTCGTCCACAAACATACATAATCAACTCACTTGACAATATATTCCGTGGAGCGATTTGAGACATCTCAATGGCGTGATAACGGACTAAATATCAAATGCAAAGATTATTATTAATACTTGTTTTTCTAGATGATAATAATAATAATAAGAATAATAAGAATAATCCTGTTGCTTCGGTGGATAATTTAAAATTCTGTACATGTCAATAAGAGATGTCTGTCCCTTTAGTCCTTATTTCTACAAACTACATTGATACTTTTAAGGATGGTGATGGGTTTCCGCATGAGTCAGGACCCTGGCTGGTCAAAAAAAACATTGATAATTGTTAAATGTTTCAAATTCCAATGATTAATTATTCTGTTGCTTACCTGAGGAGCATCGCAAAACTGGGTGTGATACCAAATGAATAAAAGAAGGACGATAGTCCTGTTACTATCAAGAAGTAGACACATGTTTTCTCGCAACCATCGCCTTTTTGGCATTGCCCTAAAATCACTGATGAGTTGTCAGATGTTGAACCAAGAACACAGCTGCAATTGTGAAATTCCTATATAGAAGGTTATAATCATGGTGAGTTTAGGGGAATACAGTACAGCGGGTGAAAAATCAATTTAAACACAAAATATATTTGAGGGAGTGAGAAATATCCTACAATCTTCTTTCACATGATAATTGCACACTTATACACAGTAAAAAAAATATTTTTATCCATATTATTTCATTATTTAATAATCCCTCCAAAACAAACAAAATTATAAATCGGTCATTTTCAATCCACCACTGTTTGTGGGACATTGCTGTGCGCAATTGGCTGTCGCGTTTCGCCCACAAATATACAGTCAATTCACTTTACAGTCTATTCTGTGAAGCGCTTTGAGATGTCTAGAAGACGCGAAAAGCGCTATATCAAATCCAAGGATTATTATTATCATTATTATTGTTTTGTACTATTAAATGAAGGTGTTCCTTTTTCGAGCATGTACAATATTTGCATTTTTTGATGACAAAAGCAGTTAAAATCAATTGCGGATGAATTTAGAAATGAGATTCAAGGTACATGCAAGCCAGCATTACAGATCTCACTCGAGGAGCGTGACAATCAATCAATTAATCAATTTATCAATCAATCAATCTCAGTTTAAAAATGTGCAACCAACTAAGTCAAACTGACACCAATTTCCCTCAGTATCAACATAATGTTTTGCTGAGGTATGAAACTGATTTCGTTTGAAATCTGATGCAATAACAAACAGTATTCTCCAGCAACAAGCAGAACAGACTCATATAAGAGGCTAAATTGATAACGCATATTCTTACTGTCTTTAACCCTGTCCGGTTGTTGTTTTGCAACCAGCAAGACAAGGAGAAATATATGTGAGCCCATTGACTGCACAAACAGGTTCCCACTGTGTTTTGGAGCATGTGCAGTCAGAGTTACAAACAGAGACGAGATTATGCTCATTGTAGGAGTCCAGTTTCATCCTGAAATACATTTGAAAAAGGCAAGCATTATTATCCGATAATCAAATGTTCAAAGATGGGCTAAAAGGTCTAATTATACTATATTGATAATGATTCTAATTAGCTGAGTAGCTAAGTTCCGAGTAGTGTTAGTTATGGAGAGCATCAATGAAATATGTACTGTAAAAATATAAATAATAATAATAATAATAATAATCCTTGCATTTGATATAGCGCTTTTCACGTCGGGAGGACGTCCCAAAGCGCTTCACAGAACACACTGTAAAGTGAATTGACTGTATATTTGTGGGCGAACGCGGCAGCCAATTGCGCACAGCAATGTCCCACAAACAGTCGTGATAAGGTACTATATAAAAAGCAAGGATTGTTGTTATTATCAGTCACCGGCACCTTGCATGTACCTATTTAAGTGTCTTTGAACTGTTCGAGAACAATATGCTCCTGTTAGCCACTCTGCTCTTCACATTTATGTCTGCTTGTGTGACCATGGAGGGCCATTTGTCCTTCAATTACCTGGATGGCATCACGAAGGTATTTATTATTGCTCACTCGAGTTTGAGAGAGCAATATGAAAACTTTTTTTCGAAGAAAACGTTTAGGATTACATTTCTGTGAGTCACACGTCACAGTTTTTTTTCTCAGTTTTAATAATAAACGTGAATGAGCCTTTACTCACTGACAGACAATGGAAAGCATTTTAGACCGCAATTTGGGTCTGCTCTTCTTCTCTCTTAGACGTGCTAATGGATTTTGGTGTATGGATTAGCAAGTGTCAGATACTATTTAGAACTTCACTAAATTAATAATAATAATCCTTACATTTGATATAGCGCCTTATCACGTCGTTGAGACGTCTCAAAGCGCTTCATGGAATAGACCATAAAGTGAATTGACTGTATATTTTGTGGGCAAATTGGCAGCAGCCAATTTCTTTATAACAAATAATAATTATTCTTCTAAAGAAATTATTAATAAATAATTAATACGTAACAATAATTTGATAATAATAACAATCATTCATGTGTGAGCCAAGCCTGTCATTCTCAGCAGGTTAGATACACCACATAGGGCCTCAGAGCTGAACATATTTCTGTGTTTGCCCAATTTTCTGCAGTTTTATTCCACGAGGGTCACTGGGTTATGTCAGGAGACCAGCATTGAAACTAAATATACTGCAAAGTAAAATGAATTATATTTTGTGGGTGAAACGCGGCAGCATATTGCGTATAGCATTGACCCTCAATCAGTGGTGGATTGAGTGATCAAATATATATATTTTTTTGAAGGGACTGTTACACCGGAAAAGTGATCCGTCAGTCGACTAACAACTGAATTCCTACGTACTGCTGTGTAAACAGAGGCGTGTGGAGCAAGGAAACTTGCCCAAGGTTTCACCCTGCCCAGGAATCGAACAGGATTCCACATAATGTTGAACACTGACACTTGTAGTTGACTCTCACTAAGCTTTCACAATGCCGATATTTTATAAAACAAAGCAAAATACTTCATAGTTACAAACACAAGAAAGTACTGACCTATTAGATAATTGACTCTCGATGTACTTTGCCCATATTGCTGTTCAATAAATTTGGGGTTGAAAGTAAATAGGCCAATCCAAGCATTGGCATCCAGAATAGAGTATACCCCAAATAACGTAAAGATTGGGGAGTAAAACAATTGTTTCAAAGATGGCATGAAACCTGAAAAACAAAATATAATAAAAACAAAATATAATAAAGTTGTATTTTATGTCCACTCCCTCCGCTCAGCGAACTCCAGTCTGCCCCATGTTCCCCGCCCGCCCCGCCCCCACCATCAGCGGTCAGGCCTTCAGCCTTTCTGCCACCACCCTCTGGAACTCCATCCTGCAGTCCCTCCACCTCACCCCCTCCCTCGCCTCCTTCAAGGCCCATCTCAAGACCCTCCTCTTCGACCGTGCTTTCGGTCACTTTCCCACCCCCTCCCTCCGCTCAATCCACCCCCTCCTGATCCAACCCCCAGCTCTGACTGTCCAGCGCCTTGGGTTGTCCTCCCGACATGAAAGACTCATTTTCTCACAAATGCAGATATCATTTGTTGTTGTGGTTCTATGTCATACCCAGAAAAACAAATCAATCACTACCTTTTGCCATTTCTGAAATGGTGGATTGTTGGTTAGACCCACTTTGGGTCACTTCTGTTGTCTGTGGAATTGACTTCTCTATTTTCTTTCTCTCTCCTTTTGAAGGCATAGATTTCGGAAAGAAGAACAATGGTATTGCAGCAATAATAATTAGCACTCCGGCTATTAAAAATCCCAGCCACCAGGCACCGACCCATCGTGCATCATTTGGGGTAATTGTTAGCCCGTCTGGAAAACAGATCTCATGTTAACCATTAAACCTTATATAGTTTCTAAGTCTCTCAGGAAGAAGAAATGCCTCAATCTTACAGGGTCAGCTTTCTCACAAGGAGCAGCAGAAAACAACAGCTCCATTGCTCTCCTCATACAACAATGACCCAACTGTGCAGCGCCTTGGGACGTCCTCCTGACGTGAAAGGCGCTCTATAAATGGAATCTTGTTGTTGTTGATTTGTATTTACACAGCGCCCCCTCACGCAGGGCAGAGTCCCAGAGCCCTTGACAGTGGCGGAGGACGACACCGAGCCGGGGGGAGTTGGGAGGGTCGAAGAGGAAGGTCTTCAGGTGCAACCTGAAGATGGGGAAGGAGAGGATAAGGCAGAGGGATAGAGGAAGATTGTTCTAGAGTTTTGGGGTGCAGTGGCTGAAAGTGCGGCCGCCGATGGTGGAAAGGAGGGCCCGCGGGACAGGCAGGAGACTGGAATCAGTACCACATTGGGGGATCACCTCAGCGAGCTTCGGCCTGCTCCAAGTCCCCCACCCAGCCCATCCCACTATCAGCGATCGGGCCTCTCTGCCCCCACATTTTGGAACTCCCACATCCCACAAACCCTTCGCCTCGCTCCCTCCCTCGCCTCCTTTAAGCACGTCTCATGACCCTCCTTTTCAACTCGTCTTTGGTCACCCTCCTACCCCCACCCTTCCCGCCCTCCACCCCTCCTGATGCCGACCCACAGCTCAGGTCCAAATCTCTGACAGTCCAGGGCTTTGGGACGTCCTCCCGACATGAAAGGAGCCGTCGAAATGTCATTTGTTCTTGTGGCTGTTGATTTCCTTCCCTCTAAAGTAATTTCCAACCTTTAAAACAATAGTAACTGGTTTTACATTGGTTAACAAATCCAATATCCACAAAACGTTTAGCACAGAATGATCCCAGCAAAAAGCCAAAAATTGGTCCAATTAGTGCTACTGTGAAAGTACAACTTAAAATGAAATAGAATTGGTTGCAGTTTATTTCCAAAGAACTGCGAGTGCATATTTAATAATAATAATAATTCTTAATAATTTTTTATTGATTATTAATTACAACTTATTTGTTCTAAAAGTGTACGTTACCCAGACGGGTAAAATGCCAAATTTTAAACAGCATTTCTAAAATATATTAACATTTATAATTCATAAATTAATTATAATTCATAAATTAGATATTTATAATATATAGCCATTGAATTCTTATTGTATTTGATAATTATATAACCAGTCTTGATTATTTAATAATTTACTCATGATTAATTGATAACTTTATGAATGTATTCATCATTAATTATTTGTTCAGAAATTGTAAAGTTACCCGGGTAAAATGCCAAATTTTCCTCTTTGGAATGATCGTCCATATAAGAGATTCCCAAAGGTAAATTGGTGCCTCACCAACTCCACGTAAAAGATTTCCAAGTAACACGAGTATCTACATGAAGGATCCAACTGCTTTTTCACAACCTGAGTTGTGAGCATTCATTTTAGAAACACATACAGGCCATTCCAAATCAAATACTTAAAAGCGAAGATAATAATGTCAATAATAATAATACTTATGAGAACAATATAATTATAATAATCCTTGCATTTGATATAGCGCTTTTCATGTCTTCGAGACGTCTCAAGGCGCTTCACAGAATATACTGCAAAGTGAATTGACTGTATATATTTTGTGGTTGAACCATGGCAGCCAATTGCGCACAGCAGCGTCCCACAAACATTCGTGGATTGAGTGATTATTATTTTTTTTCGAAGGGATTATTATGCCTGGCAAAGCGATCCGCCAATCGACTAACAACAGGGTTCCTACTTACTGCTAGGTAAACGGAGACGGGTGGAGTAAGGAAACCTGCCCAACATTTTTCGTCCTGCCTGGGAATCGAACCCGGGTCCTCGGACCACTAAGCTCCAGAACTCCACAGTGAAAGTAATAAACTCTTTTTAAATACAACATGAATTTACTTGCCTGCATCAGGTGCCAAGGAAGATGTGTCTGGAAATTCTGAGCTTAATATAGGGTCTGGAGAGCACAACGACACTTCTGTTGTAGAGTTGTAGGAAGATTTGATGCTGGTTTTGTAATCATAGCTGTGCAAAATCAATTCCTTTTTTTAGTAATATCAAATGAAACATATGACAGCTAATATAGTTCCATGCCTTCATATTCCTTTATGAAAAATCACAATCAAGATAGGTGGAGGCTCACGTTTGCGAATTATCACCAGCACAAACTAATTGGTCCAAATGCCCTGTTTCAGTGATAATAATAATAATAATAATAATAATCCTTGCATTTGATATAGCACCTGATTTGATGTAGATTCTTTTGTTACTTCACATTGCTATTGCAGCAATAATTAACCCCAGCATTAACTTAAGCAACACTTAAAAGAATACCATAATTCAGACCACAGAGCTAAATACCTCTTTGAAAGAGTTTGAAGATAAGTGCTCACATGGTTTGGCATGTTTTCATGTACAGCACAGAGCACAAGCAGGTCATTTTGGAAACATTTTCTAGAAATTTGCTTTGAATTCATGTCTTTATTGCTGTCAAGCGTGTGCGATGAGTTTTTCACACACATTTTATATTTTAATTGACGTTTGAACGTGTTTTTTTAAAAAAAATTGGGTAAACAACAACACAATTACTTTTTGTATCGCGTCTTTCACGTTGGGAGGACATCCCAAGGCGCTGGACAATCAGGGATAAAAAGGGTAGCTGCTGGTAAATATAATAAGGAGTTTAGGAGGACATTCTTCACATAGAGGTTATTGATAATATGGACCTGGTTACGAAAAAAGAATCTTTGTTGGTTACTGCTAAATACAATGAGACGAAAATACTCACCGTCCCATAATGAAATGAGTCAAAGCTATTATAAATAAGCCAAGACTCACTATGAGTAATCCAGCTCCAATTATTTGGGGTCTATGATGTTTTGCTCCAAAATAACTCACAGCTGTAACCACCAACAAATTACCTTCAGTGGAAAACGAATAGCGATGAAAAATAACCGGTAATAATAATACAGCATTTCAGTTTCCTGTTCTGCTTCAGAACTCCCCAAAGCAAGAGACGTACCTATTTCAAAGCTTCCATCGATTAAACCAATGAAAGAACTCGGAACTCCAAAGCGTCTCTCTATCTGTGTGATCGAACTCTTCATGTAAGCTTCCAGCTAATGTCGTCGCAAAGAAGGTGAAGGATAAGACAGCTGAAAAACACTGTGAAAATCAGATGTATTTATGAGTGAATTTTAGTGAAAGCGACTGGGCAGAAGCGGTAAGTAATCATGAAATGATTGATGGCAACTATGATTGATATTCTAATGTTGCCCCCAAATAAATACATAATTTTATCTCTTAATATCTTTATAATTAATTGAATGCTTTATTAATTTAGTTTTATGCATTGAAATATTTAATTACAGTGGAAATTGAGCTGTAGGTATCAGTACTTCAGTTCCAATAATATGTAAAGATCAGGCAAATTCCCTGTTGAATCGCCCCACTCCTTAATGGAAAATAACTGTGAACACAGTCTTGTGCAAATAATCAAACCTTTATATTCTGTAAACACCGTTTCTGAATAATATGTCAATATCAGTTAGACATGGAATGCCTGGTCATCAGAATTAGTAGGTAAAATGTCTGATTTTATTGTGTAATTCAAACTGTTGATACTATACGTAGTTAAGTTACAAATCCCAATACTCCTTACTTATAATGTTGTTTGCAATCCATAATATGGTTTCCTCAATTATTTATTAATAATAAAAATCCTTGCATTTGATAAAGCACCTTTTTTCATTGAAACCTCTCAAAGTGCTTCACTGAGCCTTCTGTAAAGTGCAGTGACTGTGTATTTGTAGCCAGGTGGCAGCCCATTGACCACCGTGATGACACTATCAGTTTATTAATCAGTTTAATTGGAGGATTGCTGACCGAATCACGGGGAAAAACTGCCTTCTCTTTTCAAATAGTGTAATAGGATCTTTAAATTGTCCGAACAGGCAGACAAGATCTCGGTTTAATGACTCACCTAAAGGACGGCCCCTCAGACAATTCTCAAATTCCCCAACATTGTCCTGAAGCATCAGCTTCAAACAAAATGATTCTGTGATACCTGAGATTGGACACAGCCCAGCCCCGCTGCCTCTACGTTGGGCAACCTGTGGCCCATGGGCTGGAGGTGGCCCCCGAACATTCTCATGGGTCTGGGTAAGTCTGTGTTTGATTGGTACTGTGTTTACAGCTTTTCCTTGATTGAATATTTCTTGATGGAACTCCATCCCACATTGCCTTTGCCTCGCTTCCTCCCTTTGCTCCTTCAAGGCATGTCTCAAGACCCTCCTCTTCATAGCCTTCGTCCACCCTCCTATTCTCCCTGACCTCCAACCTCCGTGATCCCAACCGCCACCCCTCCACCCACACCCTGCTGTCCCAGCACCTTGGGCCATCCTCCCAAAATGAAAATCCCTATATGCCAATGCAACTTTACATTTATATTCATATATATTAATTTAATATTCAATAACGAACATTTATTTGGTTGGCCAACCATAATTGGATGAAAGTCTACTCTCTCTACTACTGTTGTTAAACAGTCATTAATTAAACTGTTTATACAGACTTAAATCAGGTAATAAATCCAGAGCACAAATATGATCCTGGTTTTGTCAGCATTGATATCCTCATTTTTTTTACAATGTCTGTAAATTGTAGTTTGTACGTTAGGTTGGAATATTTGATTAATGATAATAATAATCCCTGTATTTGATATCATGCTTTATCAAATCGTTGAGACGTCTCAAAGCATTTGGCAGAATATAATAATAATCCTTGCATTTGATATAGCACCTTATCACGTCTTCTGGACGTCTCAAAGCGCTTCACATAATATGCTGTAATGTGAATTGACTGTATATTTGTGGGCGAAACATAATAATATATATAATAATAATGTTTGCATTTGATATAATAATAATAATAATCCTTGCATTTGATATAGCGCTTTTCACGTCGGAAAGACGTCCCAAAGCGCTTCACAGAACACACTGTAAAGTGAATTGACTGTATATTTGTGGGCGAACGCGGCAGCCAATTGCGCACAGCAGAGTTCCACCAAAAGTCATGGATTGAGTGACCAAATTATTATTTTTTATTTTATTACCCCTGGAAGTGATCCGCCAATCGACTGACAACCGTGTTGCTATTCATTGATTGGTAAGCAAAGGCATGTGGAGTAAGGAAACTTGCCTAAGGTTTCGCCCTTCCCACAAATTGTACCCGGGTCCTCTCGCTTACCTTTACATTGGTACAACAAGAATGTTTTGTTTTTAACGTTGGATTTCCAGAATCATTTGATGCTTCCATTTCTTGCTGTGGTTTTCCCATTCTCTGCAAAAGAATCTCAAGAACATAATTATATTCCAACATTGATTACACAGTGAAGAAAATGAAAGGAAACATAGTGGTAGAAAAGTAGCACAGTAATAAAAGCAAATGCATTTGACTTCTCACCTGAACTGGATCGCTATGAATTTGCTATGATTTTGAGAGTGAATATGCTTATGTTGTTAAGAGATACTTGGACATTAAAAAACTTTGAACAAGACTTTGGCCATTTAGGCATTAATGATTAGTCAACAACAAACAAAATTTGCTGAATTTGCGTCCTGGGTGCATGAACATTTGGATTCAAACCATAGAAAACATCCCCAGGAACATGCTGTCCCTGTTAATTCTGCACTGCTGCTTGCAAGGTTACTTTCGATGAAGGAGGCACTTTGGTTCATTTGATCTCTCATCCTTCCAGAATACCAACTCCACTGACTCACCATTACAGCGTCAAACTCTGTTAAATGAGTCCACTGGCCCGACTTCTATGGCTTTTCCTAGTAACATGTTACAGCTGTTGATTATCCTCTGTAAATAAATAATTGCTGATCTCAAAAATTGCTCTTCACAACACTAAACATAAGAACATAAGAATTAGGAGCAGGAGTAGGCCGTTCAGCCCCTCGAGCCTGCCCCGCCATTTGATAAGACCATGGCTGATCTTCAGACTTAACTCTCATTACCTGCACTATCCCCATAAAAAATATATGAGTCTCAGCCTTGAAGATGTTCAAGGACTGAGCATTCCATAAATTCATTACCCTCTGAGTGAAGAAATGTTTCCTCAACTCTGTTCTAAAAGGCTGACCCTTAATTTTAAGACTGTGGACCCTGGTTATAGATTCTCCCACCGGGGAAACAGACCCTCAGTGTCTACTTTATCAGCCCTTTAAGAATCTTATATGTTTCAATAAGATCTCCCCTAATTCTTCTGTACTCTAGAGAATACAGCCCCAGTTTATTCAGCCTATCCTCATAGGTCAGTCCCCTCACCCCAGGAACTAACCGAGTGAATCTACGCTGCACCCCCTCGAGGGCAAGTATGTCCTTTTTTAAATAAGGAGACCAAAACTGCACACAATACTCTCGGTGCGGTCTCACCAAAGCCCTATACAGTTGCAGCAAGACTTCCCTACTCTTGTACTCTTTACCTTTTGCAATGAACGCTACTGCCGTTCGCCTTCTTAGTTGCTGCTGTACTTGCAAACTAACTTTTTGAGACTGGTGTACAAGGACACCCAAATCCCTCTGAACACAAACACTCTCTAATCTCTCTCTAGAAAATAATCTGTTTTTCTATTTTTTCAACCTAGGTGAATAACTTCACACTTCCCCATATTAAATTCCATCTGCCACCTACTCGCCCATTCCCCTCGCCTATCTATATCCCGTTGCAATCTTTTGGCATCATCCTCAGAGCTTACTTTCCCACCTAGTTTATCTGCAAATTTAGATACGTTACATTCAATGTCCTCGTCTAGATCATTGGTGTAAATTGTAAATAGCTGAGGCCCAAGCACTGATCCTTGTGGCACTCCACTGTTCGAGAATGACCTTTTATCCCTACTCTCTGTTTTCTACCCATTAGCCACTCTTCAATCCGTGCTAATATGTTCCCATTAATCCCGTGGACCTTAACCTTGTGCAATAGCCTTTTGTGTGGCACTTTGTCAAATGCCTTTTTAAAATCTAAATATACTACATCTACTGGTTCCCCCCTATCTAACCTGCAGATACATCTTCAAAAAACTCTAAAAGATTAGTTAAGCATGACTTCCCTTTTGTAAAGCCATGTTGACTCTGCCTAATCTTGTTATGGTCTTCCAGGAATCCCATAACGACATCTTTAATTAAGGACTCAAGAATTTTCCCTACCACTGATGTCAGACTAACTGGTCTATAGTTCCCCATCTTTTCTCTCCCACCCTTCTTAAATAGTGGTGTTACGTTTGCAATCTTCCAATCAATGGGAACCGTTCCAGAATCCAGAGAATTTTGGAAGATCAAAGACAAGCCATCCACTATCTCAGTAGCCACCTCTTTTAAAACCCTAGGATGTAGGCCATCAGGTCCAGGGATTTATCAGTTTTAAGACCTGATAATTTACCTAAAACCATTTCTTTACTAATATTAATTCCCCAAGTTGCTCGCTGACATTTTCTTCTTGGTTCCCCTCTATTCTTGGTAGGTTTTCAGTGTCTTCTAAGGTGAAGACAGTAGCAAAGTACTTGTTTAATGACTCTGCCATGTCTTTGTCCCCTACTATAAATCCCCCCGTCTCTGCCTGTAGTGGACCCACATTTACCTTTGACAGCCTCTTCCTCTTTATATATTTATAAAAACTCTTGCAGTCTGTCTTTATGTTCCTCGCTAGTTTGCCCTCATATTCCATTTTCTCCCTCTTAATCACTTTTTTGGTTCTCCTTTGTTGATCCCTAAAGTTCTCCCAATCCTCGGGTTTACTACTCATCTTAGCTGTTTTATAGGTTTCTTCCTTTAACTTTATACTGTCCCTAACTGCTCCAGTTAGCCACGGTTGGGCCACCTTTCCCGTGGCATTCTTATTCCTCAAAGGAATACGTGCTCGCTGGGAATTTTGCACTATCTCCTTAAACGTCTGCCATTGCTGGTCTACTGTCAAATCCTTAAGTCTAATTTCCCAGTTTATTTTGGCTAAATCCTCTCTCATACCAGCAAAGTTGGCTCTACTTAAATTTAAAACCTTTCCTTCGGACTTAACTACTTCTCTCTCTAACTTAATGCTAAATTCCATCATATTATGATCACTTTGCCCTAGAGGAGCCTTAATTTCCAGTTTGCTGATCAGCCCTGCTTCACTTAAGAGGTCTAGCGTATCTAAACATTCCTCGTAGGTGATCCCTCTAAAATCAGCGATCAACCTTGTGACTTTCATGGATTACCTCGAGGCTAAAAGCAACTCTCTTTGGCAATATAGCCCAGGATTCTGTTTGCCTTGTTCATTACTGCCATACATCAATTGGACAACTAACCACACAGTCATATCACTTTGCAGTATTTTCTTGAAGCGCTTTGAGACGTCTCAAAGACATGATAAGGCGCTATAGCAAACACGACAATTATTATTGTTATCCCCTTCGCCAGGTCTCTTCCAACTTCCCCCTTGTCAAGTCATATCCATCCACGGAGAACATCTGCCTTTTACTTTGCTTTCCATTTTACAGCATTTTGCATTTATTTGCACTGAACTTAATTTGCCATGGGTCAACCAGTACAACCAGTTGTCAGGGTACTCTTATCTCTTCTTTATTGTGTGAATTACATACACGTTCCTTTCAGGTGCACTCTGAAAGTCATGATCTTTCACTGGTCATTTTTGTCGAAGATCAGAGCGGTCTCAAGAACAACCCACAACATTTGATCTATCTTAAGCGATTCTCATTTATTCAAACAAGTAAACAACAGTTTTCCCGAATGTGACAAAGCGACGCAATAAAACAAAAAACTCTAGCACATAGGCAATACTTTAAAAATACTTTCCTAACAATGCTGAGTTTAAACAGACTTTAACACAACATGCAATCTTATACTTGAAACCCTACTGAGCGTCAATAAACAAAGACCTCTTGGTGGTAGATCCCACTCAGACCCGCTGAGTTTAAACAGACTTTAACACAACATGCAATCTTACACTTGAAAACCTACTGAGCGTCAATAAACAAAGACCTCTTGGTGGTAGATCCCTCTCAGACCCTTACTCGCTTAACCAGAATTTAGCCAAACTTCCTTTTATACCCCAATTTAGTCAATGTGACCCTTTCCAGCAAACATGGAATTCAATAGTTGTTTTGTCTAATCATATTCCCAAATTGGTTCATCCAATCATCTTTTCACACACACAGGAGACACCCACGGTTATCTTGTTTTGACCTCACAGAAATTTGGGAGTGTTTTCTGAGAAACCTAGTATACCAAGTGTGAAAGGTTCATCCCAACACTTAATTTCCTTTCTTTGACATCTTGAAGTCGTAAAATCCTCTTTATCTTGTGGTATCCCAGATATTGAGACGCCAACCTGGTGCATCCATCTTCCTCCCGTGCCTGTTGAACACACTGCCCATTTGCTCAATTCTTGTGTATTAATAAGGCCCAAGAATGAATAATATCCATAAATAATAAGCTCCAAGAAGAATATCTATCCGCTTCATTGACAGCATCTGGAACCCTTCATTGTGAACTCCAATTCACCTCATGATCAGTAGTACTTCTTAATTTTCATTCTGTACAATCTTTAACCTTATAATTCTTTTGTTTTAATCTTTCCTAACAACTGCCTGTATCAGTCAATGGCTCCCAATACATATCCTTACCCAAGGGACACTAAATTCTCTCTTTCTCTGTCCTTAAATTATCCCTACTTTTGCTCCCCAGCGAGGAGTAAGTAGGAACCTGGTTGTTAGTCAATTGGCAGATTGCTTTCTAGGGATAAGAATCCCCTCAAAAAAAAATTTGGTCACTCAATCCACGACTGTTTGTGGGACACTGCTGTGTGCAATTGGCTGCCGCGTTTCGCCCACAAGTATACAGTCACTCCACTTTGCGGTAAATTCTGTGAAGCACTTTGCGACGTCTCAAAAACTTGATAAGGCGCTGTATCAAATGCAAGGATTATTGTTATTATTATTTACAACTGAACTCATCAGAAAAATATTGTTCTATTGACTGTTCACCTACTAACACAGATGTATTGTTTTAAGGGCTGCCTTACAGGTGTGTCGGTCTGTCTCAGTTGGCAGCACTCTCACCTCTGAGTCAGAAGGGTGTGGGTTCACGTCCCACATCGGGACTTTGAGCTCACAGTCAAGGTTTTGACTGCTTATTCAGGTTGACATAAAAAACGTCCTGTGGCACTGTTAAAGAACGGCAGGGAATTTCTCCTGGTGTCTTGTCCAAGAATCCCAAAGTGCGGTTAGTCTTTCCCTGAGTCGTGTTGGATCTGTTTTCACCACAAATACACATCACAACACTTCACAGTAAATGGTGCGAAGTGTTTTGACGCGTTCCAATAATGTGATAAGATGCTATATCAGATGCAAGGATTGTTATATTATTCTTATTGTTAAGAATGTGGGATTCAGTACCTGGGTTTGATAGTAGCAACTCTGAGTTGCAAATATCGACTCTGACTGATAAATGGAAGTGTGTCACGTGGCCTGTTTTTGGTTCTTGAGACTGATCGTTGAACACTTCAGTGACAATCACCGGCTAAAGTCACGCATTGAAGGAACATTGTCTCTGCTGAAGGATTTGTTCAAATTGCATTTGTTTGACATTCTAACGCGGTAACATAATTTGCATTATAATGCACCAACGCATCAGGGATATTGTTGCATGCTTCTGATGAAAATGAGGTGCATCTCTTCTCCTCTCCTCCTGACAATACAGACAGTTTCTATTTAACAACCGGATAATGTAATAATAATCCTTGCATTTGATAAGAGCACCTTTTCACATTGTCAAGATATCTCGAAGCGCTTCACAGGGTTTACTGTAAAGTGTAGCGACTGTGTATTTGAAATAGAATCATTATAGCTTTATCATTTTTTCACTTTTCCTGTCGATAACAAAGATGGAGCAGTATGTAATAAACCGAATCCACAAGGTATTTCTTAATAGCAACCCTTCAATATGAAAGGACAGAGCAAATCCTCATCATTCTTTAAAATAACAAATTAAGATAGCTTTACCATTATTTATGACCCTATTTGTTATACCTGATGAACACTGGATCCAACAAGTTCTGGACTTTGCCAAGTATTGTTATCAAACAGGTTAGAATTAAGCAGAACAAAGAGTTTACACTACACGCCTCTGTTTACTTAGGAGCAATTAAGAACCCGAATATTAGTTGATTGGCAGATCGCTTTTCCGGGGGTAATAATTCATTCTTCCACCCAAAAAAAATTGGTTACTTCAATCCACGACTGTTTGTGGGACGCTGCCGTGCGAAATTGTCTGTCGCGTTTCGTCCACAAAATATACAGTCAGTTCCCTTTACAGTATATTCTTCGAAGCGCTTTGAGACATCTCGAAGTCGTGATAAGGCGCGACATCAAACGCAAGGATTATTATGATTATAATGGGTTGAGCTCCTCTCTCTCTGAATATGGATGTGCAAACATATTAAGAGTTGGCTTTTCTTAGGCTCTCACTCATGAGCCTAGGTCAAGTGGTGGAGGAAAACCATACTTGTCCAAGGCTTAAAAACTAGACTTTAACTTTGGATACAGCAGAAGAGAAATAGTACAAATTTGAGGTTAATACATTCTGCATAACATACTCAGTGCTGGTCATTAATCTAGATTGCTTAAACAGACATTACTTTCAGTTCACAGGTGCAGTTCCACAGACACACATCAATACATTATGAATTGTTCATTTATAGTGAAATATGCAAACGCACAGTAAAATTATACTATGTAGCCAAACGTTTATTTAAAAGCAAGGCTCGCCTTATACTAGACGTAATTCTTCAAATTCAGCTATGACGCGTTACACGGATTTCATTCAAGTTAGCAAACAAATTTTAAAAAATTATTTCCTAGAATATTTGCAGTTCCGTATTGAGGACGCCTCATAGGTTTATTTTCAAGGGTAAGCAGGATTTTCTTTTTCAGGGTTGCAAGTGTCTGGCTTGACTACCAGGTTGCTATCGTTAGCGCAGTCGTCTGTTTTCTGCACTGGCGCCATTTCCGTGCCTCCGTTGACTCCAATTTGTTTTTCTTCAAGTGCAAAACGTTTCTTTAGAAGCACAAAGACAGGGAAACACACAAAGTAGGAGATGCCACGTAGCCCCGCTTGGAGTCCAAGGTAAATCTTGCTGCGTGTAGCAAAGAGAGAAATGAAACAACTTAGTCAGGATTTATTTAGAGGGCAATATGGTGAGACACTAAACTGATGGGATGAAAGTTTCTGTCGTCACTTGGCTTGGAATAAATGTGGTTGCATTAAATTAAATAATGCAACAATAATAATCCTTGCATTTGATACAGCGCCTTATCACGTCTTCGAGACGTCTCAAAGCGCTTCACAGAATATACTGTAAAGTGAATTGACTATATTTTGTGGGCGAAACGCGGCAGCTAATTGCGCACAGCAGCGTCCCACAAACAGTCGTGGATTGAGTGACCATATTANTTTTTATATATAGTTCCGAATCAGCATAGCACAGCATCCTACAGCCCTCCCATTAAACCATTGAGTTTTGCTGCAACTGGAGTTGAGGTACAGATCAGCCTTGATCTAATAGAATAGCAGAACAGGCTTGAGGGGTTGAATGACCTACTCCTGTTCCTAAGTAATACTGACATACCTAATAATAATACTGTATTAGTTTGAACTACTTTTCCTCTTGAAGAAAACGGATCTGTGCAAATAGATTAAGTAATTTGAATGGACGGGTAAGGTTATGTTGCAAAGACTATGAATGCATATATAGCCACAGCCAGGATGACCACAGAAGATCAAGTTTGGATGAAGAAGGCTCTTTGGCCAATTTGATCCCATCCTCCCAGAAGACCATCTTCCCATCACAGGATCAAGCTACATTTTACAATGCACCCAGTGTCCAGGAGTCAATCCCCCCTTCCTGGCAACCTTTCCCTGTTTACACTCAGAACGACAGGTACCATGGGTCCGAGTTGTTACCTGAACTGATCCGAGTCGTATATCCTGCAGGCCCCTCGCCCTCCACATCTCTTACTTCCCCATTTCAAACATGTCATATCTATCAAAGCACCAAAGTAAACCGGAGCAGGAATTCCAGCTGCAACAGAAGACACATGAGATAATTATCACAGCTATACACAGTCCTGCACAATTATTTCAAGCAACTTCACGCTCATAAAATAGATTTATATTAGTTCAGATCATGCAACTCACTGGATTTTTGTTACCATTTATGAAACACATGGGTGGCTTTCCTTTGCCTAAAGGCACTCAGTAAATACTCTGACTTTAAATATTATTTGCTTTCCATCTCAAGGGAAGCAGGCAATACTGTCAATTTCATTTAATGTTTTTTTTTACCCCAGCGGTTTACTCTCTTACCATTGGCACACACAGATTATTTCTTCTTTCATAACTTAAAAAGAAATTATCCAAGCTTTAAAGTTTCAGGACAGAACATCCACTCTGCACATATAAAAAGTGTGTACACATCCCCAATTTTAATAATAATAATCTTTGCATTTGATACAGTGCCTCATCACATTGTTGAGACATCTCAAAACGCTTCACAGGATTATTACCCCCAGAAAAGTGATCCGCCAATCGACTAACAACCGGGTTCCTCGGTAAACAGAGGCGTGTGGAGTAAGGAGACTTGCCTAATGTTTCGCCCTGTCCTGCCCCTCCCAGGAATCAAACCCAGGTCCTCTCACTTGCTCTCACTGAGCTACAGGACTCCATGAGACTATGAAACTTCCACTTACTCTTATACACCACATGCCAAGAAAATACATGCAAATTCACAAGTAACACATAAAGTAAGTACAAGAGTAATTGATGTATCTGCCATTAGAAATGTTTTTTTGTTATTTTTTTCTCTAGCCAAATAACAGTAGAGAAACTGGAAAATCCCCAGAGCATAGTCACTTGATTTACAGGCCCATTTCTGACCTGCACTGCCGTGATTTAGGCAATGGAGAACACCCTACAGTGCAGTGTGATTCGCACTTGTGCAATATAAACATAACATTCATGCTGTACAGTCAGTAACAAATTATATGGATTCCTGCTAGAAAATAATATCTGGGGATACAGTACATAGTTTGGGACATGACATGTCAAGCGACTGCCAGGATGGTGGAAGGCAAACTAGATGGCCTTCTTTTGCCCAGCAAATTCTTATGTTCCTATGTTATTTTTCAACCTGTTATGTTTCAATTTTACAAACCGCCTACACTACATCCTATAATTCTTAGCTACTCTAAAGGAGTGTTTGCTTAATTGGTAAGACGAGAATGACGGTAACTTTTGAACCAACAGTACTGACTCACCAAGTGTTCTTGATACCAAAATGTATATTCCTAAGGCCAGCGATTTCAGCGCAGGTTCATTGCTCCTGATAAGAGTTAAGGATAAAAACATTGCTGTCAGTGTTGAGAGAATTTACTTGAAAGAAAATGATTGAATGATATCTCGCTGACGTCAGTGTCAGCAGCACATTGGATGGGGAAATTGGTGGAACAGGAACTATTCTTATTCACCAGTTTTAATACTCCCGAAAGGCTTTGTGTTTGATGGGTAGGATAACTCATTGCATTTTTGGGGGGAGTGGGCGGTGGGGATCAGTCAGTGTAAGTTGCATTTGAATAGGCCACCCTCTCCCCTCCTGATATAATCCGGAGGAAATGGTATCTGGAGCACAATAATGTGCATAAACCAAAGTAGCGAAAGTCATAATAATAATAATCCTTGCATTTGATACAGCGCCTTATCACGTCGTCGAGACGTCTCAAAGCGCTTCACAGCATATAATGTACAGCGAATTGACTGTATACTTTGTGGGCGATACTTACATTTTGTCTGAAAACCTGGGGACTGAAGGATCAGACTCTGAACATTTCAATTCGGAACCTCACCTGAGTAAAAGGATATATCCAGCCACGCCCCCAAAGGCATAAGTGAAAGCACTGATCACACTGAGCGCCATAAAGTAAGGAAATATCCTATCACAGTCAGGTCCTCTTGGGCACTGGCCCAGGTATGCGGAAAAATTGCCAGAAGGGGAATCGGGAATACAGCTACAGTTTTGGAATTTCTGCAAGGAAACAGACAAGATCAGAGTGATGTATTTTTATATGAGTCAGGGATGAAACTTTTTACGAAGTTACCCATCGAAACGTTAGATATCCGATTGGGATATGTCACTTGCTCTGGGACGCTATCCTGCTATTTAAATGCAAGTGGTGTTGTCGAAACTGAAAACCTCGAGACGTCTCAAAGCGCTTCGCAGTGTACGTACTCCACAAAGTGTAGTGCCTGCATATTTTGCGGGCGAAACGCGGCAGCCAAGACTACGAAGCACAGACGTATCCTGGACGATGAAATCACAACAAGGGGCTTGAAGCTACAATCTCTTATCAAACATATAATACTTCTCAACTGAATTTTAAAAATAATTAGAAATTAAGAGTAGAGTTGAAAACACAATAAAATATAGGACAGAAATTCTGTTAGTGTTTCTGTGACATTAATTCTATGTGTTCTTTTCTAAGAAAGCTGCTCCCTCAGACCACATACAAAAGGCAGCTCTTGTCTTTGTGAAAGAACCCTGATCCTTGTGTCTGTCTGGATCCATTTCAAGTGTTTCAGCTATTTAAAGGCAAACGTATTGCTGCCAGGAAAGCGGTATTTGTTGCTTTGAACAGATATAAGTTGTGGTTAATAAAGTTTGTTCAATCAGAAAAAGAAGAACACAGAAATGTACAGATCCCTGAGTTTTGTTTCAAACCAAATCTTGTTTCGATTCTCGCTCTCCACGCCGTACAACCTTGTGAGAGACAACACAAAGAACAACTGCAGTTGGAGTATTTTCCAATAATAATAATCCTTGCGATTAATTTAGCGCCTTTTCGCGTCTTTGAGACGTCTCAAAGCGCTTCAAAAGAATGTACTGGAAAGTGAGTTGACTGTATATTCTGTGGGCGAAACGCGGCAGCTGATTGCGCACTGCAGCGTCCCACAAACAGCCGTGGATTGAGTGACCAATTTTTTAAAAATTTGTTAAGGGTTTATTACCCCTGGAAAAACAATCTGCCAACCGACTAACAACCGGGTTCCTAACTATTGCTGGGGAAAACAGAGGGATTGGGGAAGAGAGTTCCAAAGTTTCGGGACATAGTGGCTGGAAGTGATGGAGGGGACGAGGGACAAGCAAGAGCCCAGTTTATTTCCACAGAGCCACGTTTAACATCAGGTACGTCTGACTAACAGTTACAAGAATTGCTATTAACATAAACATCCCTTTGTTTATCTTAAGTTCGATTGAAAGAGGAAAAGGCAATAATAAAATGGAAGGACTTGTGTGATAAGGGAGCTAATTTTGCATGAAGTAATTAATAATAATTAAAATCTAGTAATTAATAGATTAATTAACAGATTAGTTAATGGATTAATTAATAGCGCTAGAATCCCATGGTGGCTCTTGTCATCGAATAAACTATGATGTTGCTGATGCACAAACACTCTAAACAGAATGTGTTGTGTTTTCAGTTTGCAAATTATTTTTGCTGATTATTAGATCTGATTCTATTTGGAACTTAATTAATTCCCTTGCATGCAAATTCAGTTTCCACTCAATGTTTGTATTTTCTCCCAGCCATTTGTACATGTCATTATTTTTTTTATAATCATCATGATAATAATCTTTGATTTTGATATCGCGCCTTTTCACGTCTTCGAGACGTCTCGAAGCGCTTCACAGAATATATTGTAAAGTGAATTGACTGTATATTTGTGGGTGAAACGTGGCAGCCAATCGCGCACAGCAGCGTCCCCACAAACAGCCGTGGGTTGAGTGACCCAATGATTATTGTTTGATCAGTTGGCAGAAGGCAAAAGGCAGAAATAGGCAAAAGGATGCTGAGGTCAATGATCATTCTATGTAACTGGTAGTGACACTCACTCACAATATTTTTCCCTGTTCCAGATGATACTTTGCAACCAGCAAGACATGGAGATGCGTACGAAATTCCATTTTTCCCACAAACTGGATCCCAGTCCAGTTGTGAGCAAAAGCAGTTGGCGTTACAGTCATGGAACAATTGACTTCCCGCGGGTGAGATCTGTGTTCTTCTGAAAAACAAACACAAGAGAGCTACATTGGTGCTAGATTCTGGTAACTGTCAGTCTGCCTCCCGTTTATCAATTAATATTAGTCGATTGGTGGATCCTTGTCCAGGGGTAATAATCCCTCGCCCCCAAGCAGAAATAAAATTTGGTCACTCAATCCACGACTGTTTGTGGGGACGCTGCTGTGCGCAATTGGCTGCCGTGTTTCACCCACAAAACATACAGTCAATTCACTTTACAGTATACTCCGTGAAGCGCTTTGAGACGTCTCGGCGATGTGATAAGGCGCTGTATCAAACGCAAGGATGATAATTATTATTCTATTGTTAGGATTACATCGTGGCGGATGATTATCCAGACGGTTCTGTTTCTTGCTCGCACGGTAATGAAAGCAATGATTCCAAATCAGAGCGTATGGCATGGAATGCAGCGAAGTCTTACTCACCCCTCGTAGGACACCGTTAAACCAGCCACATGGGAGTTTTCACAGCCCATTGCAAAAAAGGGTAGTGTAAATAGCCAGCCAAGGATAGAAGACCCGAAGGCCAATTTTGCAGCACTGATCACATTCAGCTGGAACTTTTTCATCACCAACCCACCCGAGAAAATTCCAATAGCCACTGCAGGAATATTAATACTTCCTGGAGGGAATGCGAAAAATAGTGAGCTGCACAAATACATTATTCATAGTAATAATTGGTCAAATATTGGAATTCAACAAGTGGCCTGAGATTTTTTTTTATCCATGTCCCAATACACAACAATTCAAATTTACATTTGAACAACAACTTGCACGTATACAGTTCCCCTCATTCAAGGTAGTGCCTGCTAGCCTGCATGAGTGCTTGGGATTGAAAGGATTAGTTAAGGGACAGATCAGCCATGATTTAATTAAATGTCGGAACAGGCTCAAAGGGCTGAATGGCTTCCTCCTGTTTCTGTATTCCTAATGCATCAGATCGTTCAAATGGCACCTGTCATATTGGAAGGACATCCTGGCTTGACACCTGAGCTTGGGATGGGAGCCAAGGGGTGGGGGTCAGTGGGGGGAAGGGGAAAGATGACCAAAAGTGCGGACAAAGAAGTATGTCCTGAGACGGGAGTATAACGCATGTTATACCATGATACAGATTTCCCATCCCATCGACATGGTCGAAGAGGCATGTCTTCAGGCACGACCTGAAGATGGGGAAGGAAGGGGCAAGGCGGAGGGATAGAGGGAGGGTGTTCCAGGGTTTCGGGGTGTATGTACTGGCTGAAAGTGCGGCCATCGATGGTGGAATGGAGGGCATGAGGGACAAGCAGGAGGCCGGAGCCAGTCGAGCGGAGGCAGTGGGTTGGGGAGTGAGCAAGTCGGAGAGGTAGAGAGGTTACAGGGTGTGAAGGGGTTTATCCAATTATCTCCATGTACTTTGCAGTCCAATGGACAACAGTCCAATAGATAGAAAAGAATCCGACAAAGCAAGAATGTGCAGGAGTTACTGTGGGCACCTGGAAATTTAGAGGTCATTTGTAGCACAATTGTTATATATTGCATTTATAGCAATCGAAATATTTGCGAATCCTGTTTCAATTTTAGACTTGATAATGACCTATTGAATCTCTGTATTCTGTAAAGCAGTGATTAACATCAATGTTACTGGGAACTCTTCTGATCCGGGCATCACAAGCTGAAGGGATATTTTATAGGCATTTTCATCTGGAGGGTTAAAGGTGCCACTCAGTGGCCAAAGCAGGTACCGATTTGTCAGTAACCGTCTATAAACCAGTTATGTTACGGAAATAAAACAGACTCTTAGGGTCCGAAGTATCCCAGGGCACTCACTGCTGATGACAGCCTGGCCCGGCCTGTCGGCAGGACCTGGACCAGTCACTGTGGACAGAGAATCCTCCCCCTCGGCTCCTGTTAACCCTGCAGCCAAAGCCCTAACTTAACGGGTGGGGTGGTCCTAGCTGGACAAGCAGAGGGGAAAGCTTGCTGGATAGCAATATCAATGGCAAGCTATGTGTGGTTTGAGCTGCTTGGACTCCAGTAGTTACCGCAGGGCACACTCCCAAGCCTTGGCTCTCGCCAACCCGCGCCTAATACTTTCTGGAATTAGGTAATCAGGAGAGAGAGAGAGACAGAGAGGGAGAGAGAGAGGGCATTTCATTCCAGCAATCTCTCTCTGGGATTTCCATGTGTAGTTGGGGGGCATGGAGTTCTCAGCTTGGTTTGGATGCTCTTAAGCAACGGTGATGGGTTTCCCCACGTGTCAGGCACCCTGATTGTGTGTAAATGACAACAGTAATTCAGAACAGTGAGATATTATTGTTAAACCTTCCAGTATTACAACAGTGAGAACCACTGGTGGATTTAGAACTCCTATAGCTATAAGTGAAATTAAATAGGATCAAAGTGGTGACCTATTGAATTAATATTTTCCAGAAATTATTCATCAGAAATAGTAATGATCCAGCATCCAATTTCTGTTCGACTCAATATCCCAAAGCATTTTCAGTGCGGTAGAGATACGTGATAAGTTAATGGGTTATATAAAGTGAAGAAATTCATTTCGACTGGATGTAATTAGTGTTGAAGGAGATCGTAGAAGAAATTCACACTATGAAGAAGTGCGGTGTAACAGGGCTGCAGTCTATCATTCTCGTTCATCATCGCAATGAGATGCCTAATGAGGAAACTAGTCCAGTGAGGCATAGTCTAAACCTATATATTTATCCTCACAAAACACACAGTCACACCACTTTACAGGATGTCCTTTCAGGTGCCTTGAGATGACAGGGATTAATTGTCATTATATAACCTTCGAGAAACTATACAAACCTATGATAAAATTGGCTTTCGATGCTGACTGTCCATATTGTTGTTCGATGAATTTGGGTTTGAATGTTATCAATCCAATCAGAGCATTCATCTGTAAGATGCTCATCAGTAAGATTAATATATAGATGCGATTGGACAGCAGTTTTTTAATCGATGGGAAAAAATCTGTCAAAGCAAGAAAGTAGAAGAGTTAATAATAATAATAAGCCTTGCATTTGACATAGCGCTTTTCATGTCTTCGAGACGTCTCAAAGTGCTTCACAGAATTTACTGTGAAGTGAATTGTCTGTATATTTTTGTGGGCGAAACGCGGCAGCCAATTGCGCACATCAGTGTCCCACAAACAGTCACAGATTGGGTAACCAAACCATCACTTTTTATTATTATTATTATTTTTTGAAGGGATTATTACCCCCGAAAAAGCGATCCACCAATCGCCCAACAACAGGGTTCCCCACTCAACACCAGGGAAACAACAACAGGTTGTATTTATATAGGGTCCCCTCACAAAAAGAGCGCTTGTAGAAAAGAGAGGCGTGTAGAGCAAGGAAACCCGCCAACTCCTCACCCCTTTAGTGCAACAGAGAGACAATAGTTTGGACTCTTGCCTTTTGCCAAGGCTGAAACCTTCACTGGATCAGGACTGGTAGTGGCGGAATCACTTTGGTTCTCTTTAAGAAATGTCTTTTTTTCCGAAGTCACGTCTTGATCCTTTTTTAGCTCCTTCGGCAGAGACTTTGGAAAGAACCAGAATGGTATGGCAGAAAGAATGGTAATTACTCCGCCTATTAAAATCCCAAGCCACCAGGCACCGACCCACCGGGAATCCTTCGAATTAATGGTTACTTTGTCTAAAAACAGATCATACAGGTTTTACAACAGGGGTCCTTATAATACAATCAAATCATTTAAGCTTACTTTTTTTTAACAATTCATTGTCTCAGACAATTGTGTCTCTCATGTTACAAATTAGACTTTATTATATCTATACGGTATAAAATGGTAGAAAACAAGATACTCCATGGTCTAGATCAGGGTGGTTCCCCACACCCCCCCTCCCCACTCCCTCCCCCCATTCCACCCGGCCCTCCATAACCCGTAAATGTTATGTTATGTTTCTGGAAGAAAAACGCAAAAATATTGCTTATGCGGCTCGCGGGCATGTCTCAAATAGGGCATCCGGGCTTCAGCAGACAAGTGGTTGGACTGCACACTACCCCACCCCCTACAACCCCATCCCACCCTGGTCTAGATATTCCTGGGAGCAAATCCCAAACAGACACAAAGGATATTGATATCTGTTGGATGCCACTTAACGTGTTGATTTTGTACGTATTTGAGCCCTGAGGTTTTGAGTAATGTCAGTTGTATCACAAGTATTGAGATGTAGAAATCACACACAACGATGACAACTTGCATTTACACTGCGCCACTCACTCAGGTAGCGTCCCAGAGCGCTTGACAGTGGTGGAGCACGACACCGAGATGGGGGGAAGGGGGAGGTGACGGTAGGCACGGTCGAAGGGGAAGGTCTTCAGGCGTGACCTGAAGATGGGGAAGGATAGGGGGAGGGATAGAGGAAGAGTGGTCCAGAGTTTTGAGACATAGTGGCTGAAAGTCCAGCCACTGGCCACACACACACAAACCTTTTACCAATTCTTCTTGTTGCTTACCCATATCAACAAACCCAATGTCCACAAATATTTTAGCACAGTATGATCCCAGCAAATAGCCAAAAACAGGACCTAAAAGCGCTACAGTATGCAAAATGCCTAAAACGGGCAGAGAAAAAAAAGTATCAAACGTTAGTTGCAATAATTTGTAAATGGTTTATAAAATATGTTGGTGAGTGTGTATAATCCTTCCAAATTACCAATGTAGAAAGAAGCGTTCTCCTGGGTGGCATGATCATCGAGGTAAGATATCCCCAAAGGTCCAATTGGTGTCTCTCCAATTCCACGTAAGACATTGCCAACAAACACATATATCCATAAGGAGGATCCAGGTTCTTTTTTACAATCTGAGCCTATGAGATAACAACAATTAACAGCAGCAGGTTACCTTTATATGGCGTCTTTCATGTCAGGAGGATGTCCCAAGGCACTGGACAGTCAGGGATTTGGACCCGAGCTGGGGGTTGGGATCAGGAGGGGTGGAGGGCAGGGAGGGTAAGGGTAGGAAGGTGATCGAAGGCACGGTGGAAGAGGAGGGTCTTGAGATGGGCCTTGAAGGAGTTGAGGAAAGAAGGGGCGAATGGAATGTGGGATGGAGTTCCAGAGGGTGGGAGCTGAAGGCCCAAACTCCAATGGTGGGGGTGGGCCGGTCGGGGGATGTGGAGCAGGCCAGAGCGAGCCTGCTCCCAGAGTGAGCGGGCAGGTTGTTACGGAATTAGCAGATCACAGAGAGAGGGACATGAGATTTAAAACGTTTGCTATGTTGAACAACATATATTTAGCACATTATTGACTTACCATCAATGAGTATTGATGAAGGAACGTCCGTAGGTGCTGTGGACAATTGGTGTTTGGGATCTACTGAACACTGAGTGATACTCATACCCATTGAGGAATTGCTTGAATATGTAACTGTCGTTTCATACTTGTAACTAAACACAAAATAACCATTAAAAACTTGGTTAATATTACCCATTTTGTGTTGTTGCAGAAATCTATCACCATGCCTACAATTCACCAAATTAAACACTTGGAAATTCCCTGGTTTGGAATGGATTGCACACTCTCCCCCCAGAGGAATGCATTCTCCTTGTCTATTCCAGAGAGTATTAATAATCATAATAATCCTTGCATTTGATATAGAGCCTTATCACCTCTTCGGGTCGTCTCATAGGTATCACAAAATACAAAGCGTAGTGACTGTATATTTTGTGGTGCAGGTTGACAGGAACCAAGGCTTGAGAACCCCAGAGTGTGTGTTGAGATACTGCTGGAATTTAACCATCTAAATTTGGTTAGGTTGCCATTGAACACACTATCTGACAAGCTTCCTGCTGCTTGTCCAAATAAGACCACCCTTCTCATTAGGACTTTTGCCTGTGGAGTTATTGGCACATATAACCTCTATCGGATGTATCCACAATGTGGTAACAATCAAATCACATCACATCCTATCTTTTCACCCTCGTACTCATGCATTGAAAGCTAATGATAGCGTAATGTCAGTGACGACAAACTTCTAAGTCTTTACCAGTTAAGAAGGACAGTGGGAAATTAAACAAATAGTCAAGTAAACAATTGCCTCCATTTAAATTTAATTTAAAGAGAATAATACACTTAATAAATAATTGTAAATAATGTTAATTGTTGAAAAACTCACCTTCCCATGAAGAAATGGGGCAAAGCTATCATAAAAGTCCCCAAACCCATGAGTAAGCTTCCTGCTGCAATTAATCTGGGTCTATGAAGGTTTGCTCCAAAGTAACTCACAAATGCTATCATTAACACATTTCCTTGAACAAGAAAAAAAAATCCAGTTAAATCGATTTTGTTTCTTTTTTCTATTCGGTTTCAAAATGCTCAACACTCACCCATTTCAAAGCTTCCATCGATGACACCAATGAAAGAACTGGGTATATCAAAGCGTCTCTCTATCTGTGTGATCGAACTCTTCATGTAGCTTCCACATAATACTTTGGTAAAGAAGGAGAAGGACAAGGCAGCTAGAAAGAGCTTTGAAAATAAGAAACGTTTACGAACAAATGTTAATGGAATTTAATTGCACCATTAAAAACAATACAGTGAAATACAGTCGTGTTTGGGGTGGTAAAAATAATAATAATCACAATAACAATAATGCTTGGATTTCATATAGCGCCTTATCACTAAAACTGGACAAACACCCTCGGTCCAGCATTCTGGACACTCTCATTTTGGTGGATGCACAGAATAATGAATCAGATGTTTCTTTGTATTTGTTATTAAAGAGTAGGTCCACGTGATCAGCTCTTTCAAAATTAAAAGAAATGTCTACTCTAAATTTTCAGGTCTCTTAGTGCCATTTTGTATTGCACTTTGGGAGTAAATCACAGTCAAAATGATGTTGATTTACCAACAAATGTCCTGCATAAAGGGAGCATAGTGGATCAATGCCAATGCCACATTTACTCAACACAGTGTAAATGCAAAAATGTCCTGTTTGCAGTTTTGAAATAGCTAAACTTTAGCACTGAACAAATCCGCACAGTCCACTATTTGCTCTGGAAAAATGTTCAAATCTGACCCTTAGTCTCTACGCATTATGTTTTTATACGCTCTCTGAATCGGGAAATATTAGCACAAACGAGATTTTGTGCCACCCGCAGTATCAGACAAAATTAATTTCACGAAGAGACATTTTGTTTTTGCGTTCAAAAGCAAGGACACGCGCACACTCTTTTTGAAACTTATGTTTTTTGACCTTGCCTTCGGTCAACTTTGCTTCCACCCTTGGCTCCTCCGCCCCCTCACCCCCCACCGACCCACCCCCCAGCTCGGGTGCACAGCCAGGACTTTGAGACGTCTTCGCGAGGAGAAAGGCCCTACATAAATATAAATTGTACTGTACTGAGTTTCCTGAGATTCTAGTTAGGATTCGATCAACATTATTTCTACTATTAATATTATTTTTTTAAAAAAAAATTCAAGGGATTATTCCCCCGGAAAAGCTCTTTTCGATTGGGTTTTTATTCAGGTTATTGGGTTATTATTATACTATTATTTTTTCTTTTGATAAATTCTTTTGGATTACAACCCAGGCACCAACTGGAGCAATTTGTAACGTGTTCCGGGTCTCAATACCTTTATGTTGTTAAAGCAGGAATCTTTCACTTTAGGAAGTGGGGTTTCAACTTCGATGGACAAATCAGCATTTTCTTTCAGTGGCACTTCCATATTGCCGTCGCTTCAAGGCAAGTTTAGAAAACTTTCACTCGGTGAAGAAACTGCAAAAATAAATAGAAAACAAACAAGCCTGGAGCTTTATACTTTTCCAACGAATGCAAACAGATCAACATAAAATATCAGGTCGTTTTTAAAAACTGTTAGAAATGAGGTTAGAAAATAAGGCAAAACACGTCTTACTTGATCGATATCCAGGTAGAGAAGAAAAACTGACCAGTTATCAATAGCACAGAGTAGACACCCCTTGTCCTTTGCAATTAATGATCAACATGTTCACATGGCTCATACCTTTAACTCCTGGTGCACATGTTGGTATTTCCCATTCAATTCTCCGAACACTCGACATGGGAATGCGCCTGCATCTCCGGCTCGCCAGCAATGTCACCAAGTCTTGCTCTTAATTGACTGAGGAATATTTAATTCTCCATAATTAGGTCCAGCCAGTCCTCAGAGGTAAGCAGTTGAAAGAGAAGAAACAGTTAAAACTCTTACTCCATTCTCGAAAAGTACCAGATTGAGCATTAGCACTTGATAAGATTGTCTCTTCGTTAACGTGATCCCATTAAATTTTGCCCATTGTCCACGGAGTTCAGATGAAATTGTAAAAGAATTACAAGCAAACATAGGGTTAAAGTCCAAATTTAAAAAAAGTAAACTTCAAGCCATACGTGTGTATTGGAAATAATTTTGTAACATCATCTTTTCGCAGTTAAACATTCTGTCGTCTTTATATTTGAAACAATTTGGGCATTCCATTTGAATTGCCGTAAAGTTTATGCAACACTTCTGGATTAATACGAGAATTTAGCTTAAAAACAGCGGCACAGAATGTAAATGAAATTAAATGCTTAGAACCAAACGCTGGAGACACTATACCTTGAGGAGGTGGGATCACTCACACAAAAAAAGAGAGAATAATAATAATAATAATAATAATAATAATAAAATGTGAAGTGGATCAATGTTCAGCAAGATCGTGGTTGGTGACAAGTATTGTTGGTACGAAACAGGTTGAAATTGATGGAGTTTTGCTTGCAGTTTGCACTCGCTTCCCTGCTCCAGCTCAAAGCAACAGTGCCCCCTGAGTAGCTCAATTGTTTAACGTAGATAAGGTTTAAAGAGTTCACAAAGATTACATAAACAAATGCTCATGAATCCATAAACGCAGCAGGCTTGAAAAACGCATCTTCTCAAGTTCCAAGCATTATTAATAACAACGTCGTAAATGGTTTATCCCCCTTTTCCCCGCCAGAAGAGTTCTGTGACCGTACATGAGAATCGTTAAGTTGATGATTCATTACAAGCCTGGGACGTCAAAGCGCTGCAAATAATTCAAATAACATGATGCTTGTACCAAGGAAACGGTTTAATGAACTCACCCACTCACTCACTCAATCACTCACTCAATCACTCACTCACCGGCCTTTGCAGCTCTCCATACATCGACCAACCAACCTCCTTTTTTTCCGCCGCTTTTTACTAAGTCTTTTCGCACGTCATTTCAAGGCTAAACACAGACACGCTCAGTTCTCGAAATGCTGGGCTTCTTGCCAGCACTCACGCTGTCTGTCACGCTTTGATTCCTTCAATGGCATCAAATAAGCAGCTGAATATTCAACACATTCGGTACAAACGTTTCCCTCTTTCTTCGTTTTTTTAAGTCGGGGGTTTCGGTTTAGAAACAAAACACCACGTTTTTGGCTCAACTACAAAACACATTACAGTTTGGATTTGAAGTATGGGTATTCAATTCCCAAATATACATACTTCCTCCCCCAATCACTCCGCCTCGCCCCTTTCCTTCCCCTATTTTATATCACGGCTAAAGATCTTCCTCTTAGGAACGCAGGAACAGGAGTAGGTCATTCAGCCCCTCTCGAGCCTGTTCCACCGTTCTGTTAGTTCCTGGCTGACCTGTACCTCAACTCCAATTCTTTGACCGTGTTTATGGTCACCTCCTCTCTCCCCCTCCCCTCCCCGGCTCTGTGTCAGGCTCCACTACTGGTAAAAGCTCCGAGATGCTACTTCGCGGGAAGGGAGCCATATAAATGCAAGTTGTTGCTATCAATCCACTTGGGTTTAGATGGAAGGCAGCAAATATTGTTAACTAAGCGAGGGCACAGCAGCAGATACCGATTGGAGCGTAAAGGTGACACTCTTCCTGCAATGTTACCCCATTATATTTTCTTAAATTTATTTTTATATATTTTTATGATTTTTTTATATATTTAAATGTTTTCGCCCACAAATCTACAGTCAATTCACTTTACAATTATTCTGTGAAGCGCTTTGGGATGTCTAGAAGACGTGAAATGCAAGGATTATTATTATTATTATTATTATTATTAAGGCAGCAAATGATTTGAAATGACTAACAAGTAGGAATCAAACATTTGATTCTTCCATTTATAAAACCGGGCGAAATCTCCGTCAAGTTTCCTTATTTCACACACCTTGAGTTTACTGAGCAGCAAGTAGAAACCTGGTTGTTAATCGATTGGTGGATCGCTTTCTGGGGTAATAATCCTTCCAAACAAAATAATAATCATTTGGTCACTCAACCCACGGCTGCTTGTGGGACGCTGCTGTGTGCAATTGGCTGCTGCGCTTCGCCCACAAAATATAGATTCAATTCACTTTACAGTGTATTCTGTGAAGCGCTTTGAGACGTCTCAACGCCACAATAAGGCGCTGTACCAAATTCAAGGATTATTCTAAGGCTTATTGGCTATCTCTGGAGAAAATTAGATGAACTATTCCTGCCTGAAATAGGAATGAATTAGATTGACAGTGTAGCTAAGAGTAAAAGGCATCATAATCGTCAGACTGTACTTTGGTGAAACAGATGAATTCGTTATAATAAAACGTATCAAACTGACACATTCCTTTTTGACAAATAAGAGATTTGACCTCAGGAAAGTTGTGATTTATTCTCTGCATGAAAAGTTAACAAAGTTTCCAAACGAGCTAAAAATGCAGCAATTGTATCATCAATACACGTGAACACAATAAGCAGAATATCCTGGAACAACAACCCCCACAACATATGATAATTTGTATGGCACCTTTCACGTCAGGAGGACGTCCCAAGGCGATCTGCATCCGAGCTGGGGGTTGGGATCAGGAGGGGCTGGAGGGCAGGGAGGGTGGGGGTAGGAAGGTGACCGAAGGCGCGGTCGAAGAGGAGGGTCTTGAGATGGGTCTTGAAGGAGGCAAGAGAGGGTCCACCCTATCCTAACCGTTGCAGTTTCAGACTTCAAAGCTTCCACAAGCGCATCAAAATTATATTTAGCTTAAAAAAATTGCAAACAAATAATTTCATATGCTGTTATTTTGCCGTCACGTGTACCATGAATAATCCCTGCATTTGATATAGCGCTTTATCACGTCTTCGAGACGTCTCAAAGCTCTTCACAGAATATACTGTGAAGTGCGGTGACTGTATATTTTGTGGGCATTTGAAACACGGCAGCCAATTGCGCTCAGCTGTGTCCCACAAACAGCCGTGGACTGAGTGACCATATTATTACTCATTTAAAAAAAAAAATATTTTAGAGGAATTATTACCCCCAATTGAGTAACAACCAGGTTCCTACTTACTGCAAGGTAAACAGAGGCGTGTAGAGTAAGGAAACTTGCACAACATTTCGCCCTGCCGGGGAATCGAACCCAGGTCCTCTCGTTTGTGAGACGAGTGCTCTAATCAATACCCTACAGCACTCTCCATTGGAGAAATCTCCATCGATATAATATTTAATCTTTTTTTAGCCAGCGGACATAACTTTCCAAGAAGCGAGGGCAAATTCACCACCGTGCACTTTGTTACAAATACTGTCCCGTGGCTTTCTGAGGAAAGATAAACAGTAAATGACTTTACTGCAACTACTTTAGTCAATCACTAAAAACGAGGTCAGGGTTGAACTGTGGAAAAGAACCGTAACTCTTTGTCCTGAAAAGTGATTTAATCATGTGGGTTACAGATAGCCCTGGACAAGTCTGATAATGTATTTAACACTAGAATGATAAAAACATGTTCACTGCTGCATAGGATCGTAGCAATTATACATAAGACATCAATTGGCACATCGAGCCAAAAATGGTGCTATTCTCTCCACTGGAGCTAACTGTCTAACCCCCCAGTTCCTGAGCTCTTTCATCATACTCTGTCGCACATGTTCATGCATTGGGAATTGAAGTAGCGTTTCTCATTTCTGCAACTACTAATAATCCTTGCATTTGAATACAGCGCTTTTCCTATCAGAAGGACGTCGCAAAATGCTTCAAAGGATATGCTATAAAGTTGTGGTGACTGTGTTTTGTGGGTGAACATGGCAGCCAATATGGTAAATATCGTAATGACCGAATGCCAAGTAGGAGTTATGTAAAACTTGCGTAGAATATAAACTCTTGAACGGGACCTGGGCAGATGTACGACTTAAGCAATTATACGATTGATACAAATTACACTTCTGTGAGTTTCACTGTATTATAACTTGAATTATGTCTTCTATTCATGTTAAGATACAGGTTGTGCAGAACAAGAATCAGAGCATCTTTCTACATCAGCGATATAAACGTACAACGGCAATTAGGACAAATCACATGAAATGTAAGTCATAAATATTTGCACAAGTAATCCGAGTTCTTTTCCACCAAACACGTGAACCTTCATGGCAGTGTTTTGTGTGCCCGCTCGTGAGTAAGTGATTTGAATATTACAGTGCAGAGCGAACCTCAAGAAATACCAAATAACAAGAAATCTGTGACTGAGTTGTCAAACCATAATCCAACGGTATGCAAGTAGCCCAGCATGAATGGAATAGTGTTTGCACTTCTTGCAAAAATCAAAAGAAGGATAATAAAATTTGCAGATAATCCCTTAATAATGAGTTGGCAAATGTCCAACATAGCTTGTACAATCACTTCAGATAATGCCTCCTTCGAATGGTCTAACAAAAGGCAGTTTGAGAGGCTCAGGGAGGAAGGACGCTGTGATAACGTTGCAGAATTTTATGGAAGTTTATGAGTTTATGGAATGCATTAGAGATAGTTTTCTAGAGCAGTATGCTGAGGAACTAACCAGGGAACAGGTTATCCTTGATATTATTGTATAACAAAGCAGGGCTAATCAGTAATCTTGAGTTAAGGCTCATCTAGGTCAGAGTGCCTGTAATATGATTGAATTTAATATTATGTTGGAGAGTGAGGTAGTTAACTCCGAAACAAGGGTCTTAAACTTAAATTAAGCCAACTTTGCAGGTATGAGGGATGATTTGGCTAAAATAGACTGGGCAAGTAGAATAAAAGATATGACGGTAGACAAGCAATGGCAAACGTTCAAAGATGTATTAGACAATTCCCGGCGAACCCATATTCCCTTGAGAAATAAAAATTCCACGGGAAAAGTGTTTCAACCGTGGCTAACTTGAGAAGTTCAGGAAGTATAACATTTAAATAAGAAGCCTATAATATTGCCAAAAAGAGCTGTAAACCTGAGGATTGGGAGGGCTTTAGAGATCAACAAAGGATAACCAAGAAACTGATTAAGAGGGAGAAAATGGAACATGAGAGTAAACTAGATAGAGATATAAAGACAGATTGTAAGAGATTTTACAAGTATATACAGAGGAAGAGATTAATAAAAGTAAATGTGGGTCCCTTACAGCAGAGACAGGAGAAATTATAATGGGGAATAAAGAAATGGCAGAGTCACTAAACAAATATTTTGCTTCTGTCTTCACGTTAGAAGATACTAAAAAACTTACCAAAAGTAGTGGGGAACCAAGAGACTAACGTTAGTGAGGAACTTGAAGAAATTCATATCAGTAAAGTAATAGTACTAGAGAAACTGATGGGACTAGGAATTCCCTGGATTCTGGAACGGTTCCCGTTGAAGGTCGCAAATGTAACGCCGCTAGTTAAGAAGGGTGGGAGAGAAAAAATGGGGAACTATAGACCAATTAGCCTGACATCGGTAGTGGGGAAAATTCTAGAATCTATCATTAGGGACGCTGTCGTGGGGCACTTAGAATATCATAATATGATTAGGCAGAGTCAACGTGGCTTTATGAAAGGGAAATCATGTTTAATAAATCTTTTAGAGTATTTTTAAGATGTAACTAGCAGGTTAGATAGGGGGAACCAGTGGGTATAGTGTATTTGGATTTTCAGAAGGCATTCGACAAGGTGCCACATAAAAGGTTGTTACATAAAATTAGGCCTCATGGAATTAAGGGTAATATATTAGCATAGAACGAAGAATGGTTAATAGGCAGAAAACAAAGAGTAGGGATAAACAGGTCCTTCTCAGATTGCCGGGCTGTGACTAGTGGAGTGCCACAAGGATCAGTGCTTGGGCCTCAACTGTTTACAATATCAATAAGTTAGACGAGGAAATAGAGCTTAATGTATCTACATTCACAGACGAAACAAAGCTAAGTGGGAGATTAAGCTGTGAGGAGGACACAAAGAGGATGCAAAGGGATATAGACAG